TGAAAATGTAATTGACCTCAGTTTCACGACAAAACAGAGTTGCAATGAGAAAAACAGATTGAAAAGTTTAACAAAAAGTATTGACATGCTACATAGAGAGTAGAAAATGAAAATATGTGACAAGGAAAAACATTCAGAAACAAAAATGTTTACATTGCATACATCAAATCATAAAGTTTGCAACTTGAAATAATTTTTTTGTATATTTAAATGAATTTTATTTTTTTTCAGGGCTTTGCACATTTTTTACAGCAAGATTTTCAAGGGATCGGCGGTGTTTAAGGGCGAGAGAAAAATCATGTAGCTCTCAAGTTTAAGTGTAATGCGGTTTCGACAACTAATAAATTAAAAATTGAGATAAATTAAAATATTCTCAGTTCTACGTTAAAAATAAATTTATCAAATTAAAAAGTTTTAATGAACAATGCAGTAAAATAAAATAATAAAATTAATAAAGGTCTTTTTTTTAATGCTTACATTATTGGTTATACATTAAAAAAGAGGTCACCCGGTTGTTCAATTCATTTCCATATACTCTTTTATGCTTTATTTTCCCGCAACTATTCTACAGGTCGGTCTTGTAATGACACACCTCTGCACTCCAACGAAATATTTAATAACGTTATTCAGATGATCTATAGTTAATTAACCGAGTAGAGCTTGTTTCATTTGAGTTGTTTATCTATGCTGATGGATCTCTTTAATTTATTTTAAGAATTTAAATCGAGCCCATCGGACGTAATGTAAAACTTAATGCTACATAAGCCATATTATTAAGTCTTTTTGCTGGTTACATTAAGCCTGACACTTCTTTCTGGTTATCAATGGTTATTGAGCCCCATCTTCAATGTAAATTCACTATTATTTCACTTTTACATCACTTTGTGAAAATCATTTCAAAATTAATCATTTTAAGGAAAAACAAATTTTCAATTCTAACGCTTTTCATTCACCACTGACATCAGAACTTAATTAATTTAAACCAAATTGCGCGAGTGCTTAAAATCACGTCTTGTGTCTTCAATAATCCAAAGTTTCAGATGTGAACGGACGAACTAAGCGCATTTTCCTCTCTTAGATGATTAAAAATAACTAAAATTCAAAACTAAGGAGCATTTAAGTCATATCCGAAAAATAATAGCATGATACAGTTTGATAAAAATCATGCCTGGAAATAAATAACTTAATGAAAAAGCATTTAAGTCATGTCCGAAAATTATGTAATTAATTATGGATGTAAGTCATGCCTGGAACTAAAAACTAGGATCTTGTTGGACATAAAAAAAACATATTAGCTAGAAAACAAATAATTACATTGAAAAATCTAAGGCATAAAAACCAGAAATCTCCAAGCGTTTCCAGTTCCGAGCACTCGTGACACCCAGCCAGCCACCCAGGCAAAGTTAATGGTTAAGGTTAATTATAAACAACCGGAAAAAATTAACAAGTTTAAAGAGCTATAAATATTTCTAGTTTAATGAGAAATTCTCATCAAATAATTCGACAGTTTCTCAAATGGCATAAATAAATAGAAACCCTTTTGTAATGATATATGAGAACCGGCAATAATGATAATAATAATAATAATATAAAAGTAGATAGAAATAAGGTCATGCGACCTAGAAAGAAAAAGGCTTTCGTTTCCTTTTACAAGGATACAAAAATAAAATAGAATCTATGCGTGTTTAACATGTGTGCGCATTTACGACTGATTTAATGCACCTATTTATGAATGTATGTTTTTAGGTAAGCACAGTAAAGAAAGTTCATAAATCCCCTCGATTCATCATCATTCCATTTTAATAAAAATTATTTCTTTTTCTCTCCATTTTCATTTATTTTTATTTCGTGACGCTTGCGATAGGAAACTTAATTCTTCGTTCCAATTTATACTCAATGAGGCATTGACTATTTCTTTTTTTATTAAACATATATCTTGTGCTGTTGATTTAGCAAATTTACTTGAATGTAACTTTATACAAGCAGAATAAATAGACAAAGAAAAGGAAAAGTTTCAACTTCTAATGATACAATTATGAAACCGTAATGAAAAAGGCACACAGCCCTCCTCATTTAATGCATGAAATCAATTGCTGTGCATTATTCATGCAAATTACTTTGCATTTTTACCGGTGGCAAACCTTTACTTAGAGCTTTTGACATGTTATGAGATTGGCGGGGCTGTCAGATGATTAGGAATAAAAATATTTATTGACTGGTTTAAGAAGGCGAGCTAGAAAACGCTAGGTTAATCATGAAACATGAAAATTAAGTTCCCTCAAAAGGCCAAGCAGATAGTCAACCTGCATATTTATTACATTAACTTAATGATTAAAATCAGATCTAAATCCCAAGCGACTAGCTTGATATTTTACAAAAAAAAAAGCATTTCGATATCATAATCTTCAAAACATGAAGATTCTTCAAACATTAGCAATGTTAACATTAAAACCTTTATAGTCACAGATGTATCAATTCAATTACAATCTGAAAAGACTATCTCTCTAGACATGAACCGTATTTATATACAATAAAAATTATGAAATAAATTGCTGAACCTACCTGAAAATGTCATAAGCACTCGACGTTCTTCATTGCTATATTATTATTATTTTATTTTATTTTCTGTAAAATTGCAATTGGAGCAATTTACGATTTAGTTCAACAAGCAGATTTAATTATTTTAAAATGGTAAGTTACATTTATATTTATTATTGTGCATTTTGCATATATGTGAAGCAGGCAAAGTTGCTAAAGACTCTTAATTGAATTCATAAATTAGATACACTATACCGAGATTTAAATCGAGATTCACATAAATACTTATTTAATTACTTTTTGAAAAAGATATAGAGGATTGCTTTACATGCTTCAAATGAATGACGAAATTGAGTCAAAGTAGGTCTAAAGGAAGTGAGATTTAAAAGTAAATTGAATTCAGAGTTTAAAGTCATTGTTGTCAATTTAAGAATTGATCAGATTTAAAGGTGAGCATATCGTAGCTAGAATGTCGCTATCTATTTTGCATAATTTTAATATATTATCTATTTACCAATTTTGAAGGAATACAAATTTCAATTGGCTAATTGACAGCCGTGCATAAATTACATGCTGTTATTATCCACTGTCCTCAACAACAGCCACAAAATTACACAATTTCCATTATTGAGCACACGACCCTTCACGGATAATTCTGTAAATTTCATTTTATTATCATAGACACACAATAACTATCAGCAGCAGCAGCATGAAACATGCGGCATCGTTTCTGTCATAATTTGCGACTTACTTATTTTGCATCATCGTCATTCAGTCTCAATAGTTTCCATGACAGTTGTGTAAATAATGAAAGAAAAACGTAAACTCAATATAATATCACACACAAAACAACAAAGTGAATATTCTATACAGCTCACATAGGAGAATGAAAAGGAAAGAAAAAGAAATTGAGCAAATATTGTCCTTAATAAGAAGCCGCTCCCGATAAAATAAGCAAGTATGTTAACGGTTTCAAAAAAAAATTGTTTATCAGTCACCACAGACAAAAATGTATTGTGGCTAGGTAGCTTCGATTCCATTCACACGGTTGTAAGTCTGAGCATTGTGTCTGAGTACATGAAAAACGAGATCAAGGATGGATGTTAGAAAGTATAGAGCGAGATTCTCAATTTGGCATCGATAATCTCCTCAAAAAATCATTCAATCATGGCTATTGAGCAAGAGAGTGCGTGTATCGACTACATCCAGTGAGATATTTATCCATAAAATTGAGATTAACGGTCAATTAGCAGTTCTCAGTCACGCCAACTCTTAGTTTATTTATTTTTTCACATAGAATATCTCGAACATATCAATAAACGATGAGAGAGAAGATTGAACTATAACTGTAAACTGGCTATATTTTGAGTGTCCTGAACATTTTTTCTGCTACACATTTGGATCACACGTAGCTCACTTCTGTTCTGTTCTTTTTAAGCACTCGAGTGAGTATGTATGAATTTTTTCATTCATTTGCTATAAATCCAGGCCATCGGCAAAAAATAAAATGTATATACATTTGTTCTCAAATTCTTGTTTAATGTGAGCAGTAACTCAATAAATAAATGCCTATAAAAGTATGGAGACTCGACGTAACCACATAAAATAATTAATTTATGTAATATTGGTAATTTATAGTAATTACAAGTAGTGCAGATTAATGATAAAGTTCAAGGGCATTGATGATTGTGTCGAATGAATGTGTTAAGCTATTCCTATTAATTTTAAATGGTCATTGAACTCGTCTGAGCGAGAGAAGAAAAAATATTATATTTTAGTAGACAGAACAAATAAACCTATTTAATTCTTACGGGATCTTTAATTAAAGTCTTTTTTGGGCAATATTAGGTTTAAAGTTACGTCTTATGAGACTTTTGTTGTTGTTGGACTTGTGGAAAATTAGGAAATTTAAACATAAATTTTCCAATAAAATCACTCACCTTGAAATTTTCCTTATTCCTTCTATTTTCACTCGTCTGGACTTCTTTTTACACTTTCCGATAACTTAAGATATTTAATAACTAAATCTTATCAATATATGATACCAATTAAGTCCTATAAATGTTCTATAATTAACTTTTTTATTTCTATTTTGAAAAACTTTTCACTAAAATTGCAAAATTATCGTCTTAATTGTGGACTTTTTGGATCTTTTTCAATGTCAACTTAGACACTAGATACTCTTGAATTCAAAGCAATTAATTTTGTGTAATGAAATCACTTTAAACTAGCTTAATTAATTAATTTTTAAATATATTTTAATTTTCCACATCTTTCCGAGTCTTTAAAAAAGTCTTTGTGCTGATGATCGATTGACTAAGGCGCATTTTTTGCGTCAATCGATAATTTATTTCAATACTGAATTATTGTTCAAAATTTAACAAATTAACGCTAATTTCAAATTTAAATTAAATATTGCGAGACAGTCGGAAAAACTGAAACTTTAAACTCATGTCCCATAAAAAATATGCTAGCAAAATTCAAAAATATACTAGCCGTTATTTTTCAAACTTTTATTAAACTTAATTTAATTTAATTTTGTTCATTTATAAATTTCTGAAGAAGCTGATTTTGAATTGGAATCGTTATATGTTCAGCTCCATCCACATTTCTCTTCATTCGAGCCAATTTGTGATCCAAGAATTCAGTCAGTTGAGCTCTTAATGCTACATCCGATGAAACTAAAAAGGCTTCACGACATGCTGAGTATAAATCTTTAAAGATAATGCCTTGATAATTCTGATTTGAACTGTTTTTGAGTTGAAATTTAACAAGAATCATGTAAATTCCCTTAGCATTGCTTGTTAATGACATAAAGACACTCTTCATTGATGACAGCTCTAATGATCCAGTATTATTAATCAACAAAGAGTTTTCAAATGCAGTCTCGTCTATATAAGGCAGGAAAGAAGTGACATCAAACCAAATAAAGTTGTAGTCACTCAATTTTGTGTTGTTCCATACTAAAAATAAAAGAAATTTATGATGAGTTTATTGGATGTTCAAGGAAGCATATAGTTTTAACTTACACAGAGGAGCATTAATGTGATCAATTGAGACAATCATGTGGATATTTCTAATGCTAGCTAATCGACTAAGGACACTTTGAGCTTTATCGTTCCTCAACATCAATCCATCAAGATTGTGAATGATTAAATAAATACGAAGAGCAGGAATAAGTCTCATTTCCTCTTCAATCATATTAACAGTCTCGTGATGATTTCCAGTGCTTGCTGATAAGTCGAGCAAATCATTGGCTATATTTTCTAAAATATCTTTAATTGTTAAACTTGGAAAGAAGCCATTAACAACAAGGACGTGCTCCTTTGATAGCCTTTCTTTATGAAATGCATGAAGTAAATTTCTTTTGGAGCCTAATCCATGTAATAAGACTGTAAATCCTTGATCAAAAAGAATCATCCATTTACTAAAATATGTTTTATATTCCTCATTCATTTCCTTTACAGCTTGTTCGTGTTCCTTGCTTATTTCCATTTTAGACAGCAATTTCATCAACTGATCATGAGGTAATCGAGGATTCTTTAATTTATCCAGCGTGTGATCAGATGTTTTATTCTTGGTCGTTTGAGTCGAGAAGAAATCATCAGATTGCAGCACATATTGATAATCTAATGTCTTATTTCGTGTGCTTGCTCTTGTTGCTCTACCTGAAACTGTTGATATTGCAAGCTGAGCTGGCGTTTTTAATACTCTTGCGGCTACTGACTGTGCCTTTTTTGGTGGTGCTTCTTCTTCCTTTTCAGATTCTGATTCATCGGACGACGATGATGTAGGTTGAAAGTCACTCTCGTCAGGCGAAAAATCACCTTCATCCTCTGATTCTTCGTACTTGACTTTGTAGAGCTCTTAAAACGGTCAAAATAAATTTAAAAATTAACGGTTAGAATAATTTCAAATTTTTAATAACCGATTAAATCGGTTCCAGTCACTGGATCTATTAAAACTTACTTCTGTGAAGTTGTCTCAAATTTTTCCATTCCTAATTTCAGCCGAAAGTTTTTGGCGATGATACGTAAGACGTAACATCCCGAAATTAGGGATGGAAAAATTTGGGACAACTTCACAAAAGTTTAAAACTTACTTTTTTTGATCTCATCTCGGACATGTCTAGGTGTTTTTGTGCACTTTCCAGCTGATGGACGAGATGTTGGAGTCTTCTGGATCTCAGCAATTCTTGAATGTTTTGGTGTGCTAAGCATAGACTTATTTGGATCATGATGACGAGGCGTTTTTGGAGTTAAATTAGCTAAATTACTCATGCCATCCTTCTTTTTTGGTGTCTTAAATGTATACAGCTTCTTTCCTTCTACGTCTTGTTCTTCGTTAAACAGAGTTGTGGGTTTAGTGACAGAATTTTCCTTATCATCACATTCATCACTACTTGAATAGTCCAAATCAAAACATTTTATTGATTCCTCCTCATGAGCATGCTCAGACTTTCTGTTTCTTGAAGCCATTGATGTATCAAAATCGTCAAACTTTTTATTTGGAGTTCTGTTTCTCAATGATTTTCTTTTTGGTATATCCAATTGATTTACTGTCGGAGAATTTTCATCAACAATGTTTTGTAATGACTTTGCTGACGGAGTTCTATTGTTCCTTAATTTCTTGGGTGAAAAATTCTCTGAATCATCAATACTTGCTTTTCTAGGAAGTCTTTTGGATCTTGGTGTATGGACTTCTTCCTCTTTCTGGACATTTACTTTTGGTGTTTTCGGAGTTTTTGGCGTATTAATTACAGCACTTTTTGTAATATTTTTTGAAGTTGACGGATGAGGTGAGTTTTGTGGAGATTCTACATAATTAACTGATTGTCTTATACGAGCACTTTTTCTTCTTGATTCTTGTGGTGTATCCATCTTATTCTATGAAACAGAAATGCTTATATTCACTAAAATTAATTAATTTAAAGAATGACAACAAATAACAGAAACATAAACGTAACACCTGGAAGTTAATTTTTTCCCGCGCATATTCAAATTCTCAAAATTCGTTATTTTTACGCACATTGTATTTTTATTGATTATAGTCAGGGTTGGGGAATTTTTTGTGATTTAAATCAAAATCCCAAATCAAATTGTGATTTTTGATTTAAATCTCACATAAAAATGATTTGAAAAATGATTTTTGATTTAAATCATTTTACCCAAGTGATTTAATTTTTTGATTTATGATTTAAATCATTTTGTATGAAAGATTTTTTTGTGATTTATGTTTTAATCACAATAAATGGGGAGTTTTTTGGGGATTTTAAATCACTTGAAGGTGAAAATTTGATAAGAATTTTTCAGATGGTTATTACAAATCATTAATCATGATTCATGGATACAAATGGAAATCACAAAAAAAATTTCATTCAAAATGATTTAATTCATAAATCAAAAATAAATCACTTGGGTAAAATGATTTAAATCAAAAATCATTTTTCAAATCATTGCAAAATGATTTTGATTTTGATTTATGATTTAAATCCCCACCCTGATTAAAGTACGCAATATGTTAAGGTAAGTAAAACTTTATTCAAATACTTTTGATTCTTAATTTAGCCAAATAGCATTTTCTTAGCCATCTGCGAATCTTTATCCTTGCCTTCATTGCGATTTTGCTGAATTGTATTCATTAAATGCATTAATTCCTTATTTCCTTTATAATCAACACGCGTAATTGTCTTCAAAGCTTCGTCGTAATTGTTAGTATGTAAATAGGCTGTAGCAAGTCGAAATATAGCCTTATCAGATGGCTTTTCTTGCTTCTTCGTATAATCCAAAATAGTAATGATTTCATCATATCTATTTTGTTTAATTAAGCATGCAGATATATTTGAATAAATATTTTGAAGCAGTTCCTCAAAATCTTTCTTCTTAAGCTCACAATCATTTAAGACATCCTCAATATCATCAAATGCATGAAAGGATAAAAGACATTTTGCAGCAAGATTAAAGTAATTATGTGCAAATAATGGATAGTCTTTAAACATCTTTACGCCATTGTCTTTATAATGTTTAGCTAATTCATACATTGTGCTAGCTTTCTGTTCAAAATAATATCCACCAAATTCGATTCTCTTTAATCTCATTGTGAATGATATTGTTCCTGATGATTTAGTATCAATATAGCACTTACTTGTCTCATTTGTAAGCATATTCTTTAAAAATTCTTCAACATAGCAGTCAATTGGAGTGACTGCATCTCCAATATTAATCCATAATTCATTTCCAATGTTTTCTTCCAAAATATAATTTGACTTGTACTTGATTCTGTCCAAATTCTGAATGTCCAAAATATCCACAAGACATTTAGATAATTCGGAAGCTTTAACTATTGTCAAATAACGGAAATTAATCACTTCCTTTCTCAGTCCTTTATCTTTATCTTCCCAAACTTTGTCAATTAAGTGCTTGTTGACATCAAATGATTTTTTTCGCACAATTTCCTGCTGAGGCTCCATAATATATCAGCTAATAGATAGTTACTTCCAAGTTTATTATAATTAAATGATTCTTTAATATCCTCAATATAGAACGGAGGTCTTTTGTCTGATAAAATAGCAAACAAGATTCCTTGAATTGCTTCAGATGGTGATTTTAATATTACTTGGTGGATTAAATTGTCTGAGAACTTTCCTGGATCTACGCAGGATACAGTAAGATTTGGTGATGAAATGAGATTTGATAATTTCCAAGCGAATAATACTAAGCACAATTTGCTGTATGCGTAGGCTTGCTTCCTTAGTTCTTGAGTGTCTTTATATAATTGATGAAATTCTTTCTTGGGGACTCGATCAACAAGTTTGTGACAGCCTAGAGAAATATTAAAGGAATAACAATCAAAAATTGTTTAAAAATATATTTGAAAATAACCGATTCAATTTTAGCTAACCTGATGAGATGAAGATCACTCTACCATGCCTGGATCTCTTAATCAGTTGTGATAGTTTCAAAATAGCCAAGTAATGTGACAAATAATTGATTTGAAATGTTATATCCACTTGATCCTCTGTTAATTCTGGTGGTTGATTATAAATCTCAGCACTTCCAATGAAAATGTCAATTGGCTTGCCTTCCTTTATCAACTTCTCACAAAATTCGTTGATGCTATGAAGCCGAGAGAAATCAATTAAATGAACAGAGACGTTAGACTCAAAAAATGAATTTTGCAATATCTCTTCCGATATTTCGGGACTTGATGACGCAATTACAAGTTCAGCTTGTCTGCTGGATAACTCCTTTACTAGTTCCAGTCCGATAGTCGATGATGGACCAAAAAATAATACACGACGATTCTTTAAACTCCTTGAATTATTATATTTTCTGCCGATCCAATACCAACTAAAATGAAGGAATAAGCTATTAAAAATACAGTCAGGAAGAAGAAGCTCATAGAATATACCGAAATGCCAAATACGTAGAAAAAATTGCCAAAGTAAAAGATAACTTTTTTATCATATTTCCATGAGTAATGTCTTGTTCTGAAGTTTGTTATTCAAGTGCTGTTAATTATCTATCAATTCGTCACTTACTTTGCCTATATTTCGTCGATTTAATGTACTTTAATTAATAATTTATTTTCGGCGACTTTTGAATCTAAAGATTTGTTTTTCTAGACTCTGTTGTTTACACGTGCAATCTGCTCAAAATTCGCAACGACCTCTGTAACTCCAACAAAGTTGTAAATCTCCAAATTAATCGTGATAGAGGCGTTTTTTCATTGTTTTGATTCGTAATTCGGGGACCTAATGATGGTCTCAATCTATAAACCAACTTCATGTGACTTAAAATGCCTTTAAAACAAATCAATGTATTTGTAACAGTTAAAAATTTTTGAAATTCAAGAAAACCGATTAAAGTTCAAAAATAACCGATAAAATTTCAAATTTAAAATGACGGTTGGAAATTAAATTACCAGTCACGTGCTTTCAAAAAATAACGGTCAATAGCAGACAATATGTCTTGTGAAAGCAGCACTGATTATCAATCAGATATGCTAAAAAGAAACGAAAAGAAAACAGTAAAAGCAGCAAAAGTTAAAAATGTAAATTAATTACAAAATATGAATAGAAGGATAAAATTATAGATATAAAAATGTGAAATAAAATTAGTGTAGTGCTTACAAGTTAAAAATTATAAGAAATGTTTACGAAAAAGCCTCAAACATCAGAAATCATTAAAAAGTCAACACAGAAAGTCCAGGATCAGAAAAAAGAAGTATTTTCACGATTAAAACACATTAAAACGATTATTGGTGAGTTAATCAGGTGCTATGAATGTTAATTTAGTGATATCTGGTAGAATAATTGAGCAACTTGGGATCTTTTTAAAGAATCTGGAATTTTGCATAATTTTTAATCTCATGCAAAAATGACGTCACCAAAAAAATTTCTCAATATTGTTCCCGTGATCAGCTCAAGTATCTATACTTATTGGGACATTATCGATCACGATTGACTGACTGAAAGTTAAGATATAGAGTACATACTATTGATTATATTCGGGAATAATCACATCATTTGGAAAGACGTCTAAATTGTAAATTACTCACACTATAAAGCATTTAACAGTTACTAATTTCCCAACTAAAGCTCTGCTCTCTACATTTTCTTTCTGTGCATATTTACACATGAATTTTTTGATTGTAGCTTCTTCAATTATTCTCTATTTTATATTATATATATTTTTTTAAAACAGATCATGTGGATAGCGATGAAGCAAAATCATTTTTTGAGGCCAATTATAGTCATATCTTTTACATATTACACGAGACCTTTGTGCAAGCCGAAACTAATTTAAAGCAACGAGGTAAGAACTATAGATTAAGTCAATGTGCATTAATATTGTATAATTCAATAACTAACGTTCGATTTTCTCTACTGTTTATATATTTATATTGTACAAATTGCATGTGTTAAAAGAATTATCATTCCACCTTGGTAAGTCTTTTTGGAAATGAAATAAACAAAAAGTGTGTTGGTTTCGTTTTTCCTTATTTGGTGACTAATCAAGTCAATAGGCTGCGTTTATTTATTTTATATTTTTTGCCATATGATAAATAGATTGGTATTGCTTTTTCTTGCTTTATTTATCTCATGTCGACACACGTTATGATTTCATATTATATCACTTCCATTCTCATGCATTTAAACTATTTTTTTCAAATTTAAAATTTTAACGGCTTCTCAAAATTCAAAAAACCAAGTTCAATTTTTGAACTCAAAAATTTCAAATTTCCAAAATCAGTTAAAATTTAAAAGCTTAAATTCCGTTGAAAAATTATTTAATTAAGTTTGATTTTTCTTGCTTGTTGCAATGCACGACACCCGAAGCAGAAATAATATCCGTAAAATGTTTGTATATTTTTTAGTTCACAAGGCACATCGAGAGGAATTAGATGGTTCAATATGGTTACTCGGAAAAGTAATTCACTTACTGCCGGAACTAATTGCGAAACGATGGCAATGTCACTCAACGAGTCGAATTTTGATGAAATTACTTCATCATGGAAACAGCACAAAATTAAGGAAAGAAGGCGTTCGATATTTTCTAATGTGGTATCAAGCTCTAGGAATATCGGAGCATGGTGCACCAGAGGAAGCACATACGATGTTTAATGAGCTAGTTCCAGGTCTAACAATTCCTCAAAAGAACAAACTAGGTCCACAGACTGTGTCACCAACAAGTGAAGTTCCAATTAAAGAGACATTACATGACTTGTCTAATCATCCAAATTTCCGTAGTATTGAAACTGGACAGTCAGTATTTCATGATCAGCCAATGAAAGCACCAGATATAACGCCATTAATTCTTCCAGCATCAAATGAACGAACTGTAACACCAGACCCTAAAGATGGACTTGAAATTTTACTTGAATCTATGGTTCAATCAACTGGATGTCTAAAATGGAGTGATAATAACATCCAGCGACATTTCAAAGGCTTCCATTTCCTTCTTGAACGCTTTCGTGAAGTCTATTTACCCGTTTTTTGTCCAAATTTTGACAATTCAGCATCAATATATGAACCAAAAATGGATCTACCTTATATGAGGACAATATCTAAGCGGGAAGAACTAATGAGTCCATGTGTCGTAGTATTAATTAATTGGATCTCAAAGCACACCAATGATCGTCATATGCTGAATAAATTGGAACATCATCACATCATTTTTGACGATATTCCGGATCAAGCAAGTTTGGTATCAAATTTAAGGCATATTGGCTATACACAGGCACAAATTGTTAAGGATGTACTCTATTCTAATCGAGATACAGTTAATTTTGTTAATGAAGTTTATCGTCAAGCATTTTTATTAAGTTTCTCATCCAGAAGCTGCATTGATGCTATGAAAATATCAATTAGTACTTATCGTGAATGGATGAGTTCAACCACACCACCGCCGTTTCTGTTAGAAAATGAATCAGACAGTGCAAATTCATCACTAGAATCAAGCTCAAGTCGAAGTCAGAGATTAAGGGCAGACTCATATATTGGTGCAATATCTAAAGATAATTTATCTATACGTGCTGGGATGCAAAATGTCCTTCAAGTATTTGTGACTAATGCTGTTAATGTATTTATGGTCTCGACATCACATTTAAATGCATATTTACCATCCAAATCCAAAGAAGAAGCTACAACACCACTGGATGAACAAACTGAGATTTGTAAGCGGGTCCTGAACATTTATAGAACAATGGTAATGAAAACAAAAATGGAAGGAAAGACTTGGGAACAACTTTTAATGGTTTTACTGCAAATTACATCCGTTATACTAGCTCAAGCACCACCAAATGCTAAAAGAAACAATCTCGGTGGAAGATTAGCACAGCCAATCTTTCAGACATTAATTGTCACTTGGATTCGAGCTCATACAAATGTTAATGTTCATTCATCAATGTGGGATAAATTCCTTAAAGTATTATCGTCTTTAACTCACCGTGAGGAACTGATTGTTGAATGGGATAAGACAATGCAGACATTAACACGTGTCCTCGCTCGTCAAGTATATAATTTAAATCTACAAGATTTGCCACTTGATCGACTTGCTGAACAGAAAGGAAAGAGACGTAGAATTGGAGTGACGTCATCGACAAATGTATGGCAAAATTCGCAAGCAAGTACGGAGAATCAACAAACGACACCAACAACAAATTCAATGATCAATAAACGTGATGAGAATCAAGAGCCAAGAACAACACAGCCAATTTTGAGGCATATTGCAGGCACACCAATGTTAAATAGAAGCTATAGTGAAGGAAGTCTGGCAACGACTTATCGAAAATCTAGGGCTCGTCGTCGCATGAAAGTGAATCAGGTACGTCAATTTTCTTTAAAGTTTAACGGATTTTTATTTTTTGAATGCTTGTGAACCATACAAAGTTTTTTAAAACATTTGAATGGTTTTAAAATTTCAATTTTTTCAAAACCGTTAATTTTCAAATATATTTTGACCGTTATAGTATCATATCGTTACAGGTTCAAGAACTTCCAGTGAGCATTGAGCAGACGTTATCCAAAATGAACAATTTATCACAACAAATGAGCGTGAGCATGGAAACATTAAATATATCAAAATTATCAAATTGTGGAGATCAAAATACGCTACGAAGAGCATTATCATTAGATTCAATAAGACAAAAAGGTGATGACAATGAAAGTTATCGAGAATCTCGGTCGCCATCTCCAACAGCATCATCAGGTTTAGATGGAAATTCAATTAAAGATTCACCACATGCATTAGACGCAATTGCAAGTGGCGGTGATTCAAGCTCTCTTGAGACACATGATGAGAATTTAGATAGAAAATCAATATTAACTGGTGGAACATGTAAAGGTTGGTTTTCAGATGTTGCTTGTATTATGTGGAGAAGAATGTTGGGTGCTCTCGGTGATGTTAATAAGATTTTAAATCCTAAGCTACATGCTGAAGTTTTTCGTTATCTGGTTAATATTACGGAAAGTTTAATTAAAATCAAATTAAATCAAGGAATATCCAGTGATAATCAAAGTACACCAAATCCACCGTCATTAGTTCCACCTGTTGCAATTGTGTTGCCTTGGTGCTATGGAGCTTTAACACTAGATCCACAATATCAATTAGGAAAAGTTTATGCAATGCAATTAATTTGTATGATTGCAAGAAATTCATGCTTAACGGGTGATCAATTGCCACTATTTTATCATGCATTACATAAAGCATTAACTGGTGAGAATCGACAAATGGCAGCAACAGCTTTAAAATATTTAGGAGGTTCGAGGTTTTTAAGTCTTTTGATGCCTGGTCATTCACTGCTCTATTTAGATTTAACTCATGCCTGTACAATGGTTTTAACCTCACTAGATGTTAAAGGTCCACGTGCTGAGGCGATAAGCTTACTTGGATCTTTACTTTGTTTCCCAAAAACATCACTTCCGGGGCCTGTTTTACAGCCATCAGAACCTCATATTGACTTAATGGAATGTCCTGATTTACAGGAACATGTTCTTAACATTGTTCTACGATGTGCACGACGAGAACCGACAGCAAAAGCTCGCTCGATTGCAATAACATCACTTGGACAGTGGATCATACAGAATTTGACAAATCCAGGACTAGAAAATAATAATAATAATGCAGGCAAAAAGGTCAGCATATCCACTAAAGTTACAAAAACAAATCCACGTCTATTTGAAGCATTTCAAGTGATTCTACAAGCTTTACAGTTTAAACATCGAGTGATTTCAAGAATAGCATGTGAAACTTTAAGGTTAGTTTCAGAAAAAGGAACCGAACTAGCAAGAATCGGAAAGCTCTCAGGATTAATAATTGAAGCTCTTTGTTACTCATTAGAAATTCAAAACATTCCAAATCCAAAAGAATGTGATAAAAACGTGTTAACGTCAATGTTATTGTGCCTTGGTGAATTGTGTATGGCATTTCCAGTATATATTTTAATGGAGCAAGCGAGCGACGAACAAGAGCCATTATTGGCTATGATCTTTCGAGTTTTACATCGAATTTCAACGGATAAGCATACAAGTGACAAGATGATGTATAAGATTGATGATGATTTCGATATGTCAATAACAATTGATGACGTGAGAGAACAATGTAATACGGAAGCAAATTATCAAACTCAGGAGACAATTCAACAGTGTAAAAATTCTATACAATTATGTGCTAAAACTGTTGCTATGCATTTAGTAACGAATATATCACATTTCCCGCTTGGAATTGGTGCTACACGTCTTAGTTCTCTTGTTGATGAGCATGATGATATAATTAATGGAGCTAAAGATATACAGCGTGACAGTAGTATTGAAATGTATGCCTCACAAGTAATCACAGCACCAAATATGCAAGTTTTAATGCTCAGTTCTGAACTTGTTGCTTCATTTATTGAACTTCCGACACTCAAATTGGCATCAGCGAATGGTTTAATTACAGCCAATAAGCAAGTTAGGATGATTATGAGAGATTTGAATGGAAAGGCATGCTGGGATGCATCACTTATCTTTTGTGAGCCAAGAATTTATACAGAAGAAAGTGATGAAGTTGACTTTGATGCCTCACGATCAAAATTCTATAGTATTAGGAACAATGTTGGTATTTCATTAGACCCAATGATATCCACAGTCGGACTTTTACAGCCAAGACACACATTGAGGCATAGACCAGCTCACCAGCTTCCAATTTTCAAAGATATGGCTCCAGACTTGGATCAACTTGATGATTTACTTCAATTTATTGGACATTCTAGTCCTGAATGTCTTGAAGCATGTAATCAATCTTTAAATGTCTCTGGACCGTCGCCACTCGGTGCTAATCTTGAAGCTCAAACAATTGCAATATTATTAAATCAACGAGCAATGGAATCAGACTATGTGTCTAGGAAAAATCAATCAATAGACTTGTCAAGCACTACAAGTGATTTTTATAACAGCAGTAGTCTTGATTTTGCATCAATTGGTGATGACATCACGATTAGATCAACAAGTACAAGTGTAAGAAATGAACAGCGTTATGAGTCAACAAAAACAAAGAATGAGCCTCAAATATTTCATTTTGGACGTCTTTTATTTAATCAATTTGGACTGTCTGGATGGGAGCGAAGAAAACGAACGTATTTGCTTAATAGAACAGATAAATTATTGAGGGAATTGAGGAATTTAGACGCACAAAAATGTAGAGAAACTCACAAAATGGCAGTTATTTATGTGGCTAGTGGGCAGGAAGATAAGAACAGCATTTTAAGGTTAGCTTCACTTACTTTTTTAACTGTTGTTAATTATTTGAATTTTAACGGCTAAAAAGCATTTGAGTTTTACCAGTTTTGAAAAATATTTGTCTCTAAAGTTCAAAATTTGAACTTTGCTGAAATTTGAAATTATGATTAACGGTTTTCTCAATATTCACAGAAACTCGTCAGGAAGCAGCACATATGAAATGTTTGTGTCAGCATTAGGTTGGGAAGTAGAATTAGAAACACATCATGGATTTTTGGGTGGTTTACCGAGACAAGGTTGCGGACAGACAGCTCCTTATTATGCAACCCCATTCTTGGAAGTTATTTTTCACGTTTCAACACGCATTCCTTCCGATACGCATGAAGCAATTTTAAATAAAACAAGGCATTTAGGAAATGATGAAGTACACATTGTCTGGAGTGAACATAATAGGGATTATAGACGTGATATATTGCCAACAGAGTTTTGTGACGTCTTAATTGTGATTTATCCACTAAAGAGTGGCTTGTTTAGAGTGTCAGTTAATAGAAAGCCTGATGTACCTTGGTTTGGACCGATATGTGATGAAATGGTTGTTAGTGGAACGAATTTAGCCAATTTAGTGAGATCATCAGCGATTAATGCGAGTCGTGCAAAGAGATATGCAATGCCTTTCTACCAGCAATTGTAAGTTTCTTATTTAACTTTTCTATGGCTTGTTTGCTTATAAATAATTTCTATAACAGCTACGAGGAACGAAATCGATCACTAGAAACTGTTGCGTCGCGTCACAAAGAAAGCAAAACGTTTGAAGAATTCATGACAAAGATTTACAGTCCAGTAATGAGCAGTCATAGCAGCGTGTCAATACAATCAGGAACGATTACTGCTGCAGCATTGATAGATCATCATCATCAGCAACACAGTAGAAATTCCGTTAAAAATAGTTCTAGTAATGCAAGCTCACGAAAATAACTTTATTCGGTTTCTTAACTTTTTTTCTTCCTATTTTTCTTGTTCTTTTCTCTTCTATCATCCACCCTCTATCCCTATACTCTATCATACTTGTGGATACTTGCAAATTAATAATATTAATGTAATTAATTAATTGTAAAGATTGGCTACATCACCATATTACGCAACGACAACAGTCAGACTTGTCTGAATCACCAAGCATGTTGCGTAAATTGCCTTTTTGTCATAATCTACCAAAAAAATCATCATCATCCACGACGATTCCACTATCTCCGACAACATTAACTGGACGAAGAATTAAATAAGGAGATGGGTTGAGATTTCTATTTGAAAGAAAAAGTATTCTTGTTGAGCATTTTTATACACAATATTATATTTTTTTATATTGAGCTTTTGCAAGTTTTTGCTTGGAACCAAAATGCATTTTTTTTCACACCTAAATTTGCTTTATTGCTGCATATTTTCTTATGATTTTTTGAATATTTAATATTTATTAATTTAAATAATCAGGAAGTAATTTATAGCAATTCTATTAGTTTGTGCTTGTGAGTGAATTTACTTAATTCTATTTTGTTTTGAAAGAAGCTTAAAAGTTTAAATTTAACCGGCTTTTAAAGATTTGAATTTGAACCGTATCGAAAGTTTGAACTTAAACCGGTTGAAAATTGAAATCTTCAAAAACCGTTAAAATTCAAATTCAAGAAATCCGTTGGAAATTCTAATAACCTTAATTCATCACCAATCAAGCAACTCACGCGTAATAATATATGATTTATTAATGCAAGAATTTAATCATTTACTAAATATTAATTTCATGTTAATATTATTAACGTACTTTATTGAAGATCAACGAAAAACTGTTGGAAATTAGAAAAGAAAAGCATAATTAACAATTTGTTATTAATCTTATTAATTTATAAATTATCATATTTTATTCTTCGTTTTCTTTGCATTAATTAATTGCTTTAACTTAATATATGATTGCCGAAAATAATAATAATTATGCATATTACTTATAATGAAAAAGTATTTTGATAATCATTGCACTTAAAAACTTTACGTCCACATATAATTTTATAAGATAAAATATTTAATTTTAGCAGAACTTTATGATTAAATTTGTTCTCTTATTTGTTTGTTTCTCCTTATTTAAAATACTTCAGTATTAAGATAAATTAACTTATTTAAAAATTATTTGCTCTTTTCAATTTGTTAATTTGAAAAATAATAAAAAAATATTCTTAAATAATTTATTGGCATTTTGAGGGTTTGGTCTTTATTATGCTGCATGCTTAGTTTGCTCTTTTATCATTTACATTTATCACTGAATTGGCAACTAATTTAAATCATTTAAAGACTTGAATTCGAAAATTTATAATTTAACGGTTTTTAAAATTTAAGTATTGTGCTGTAAATTCAAAAATTAAACACAAAAATCCGACAAAGTTCAAAAATTGCATTCAAAAACAGTTGAAGTTTAAATTTTGAATTCAAAAACCGATAAAGTATAAATTTTCAACGAAAAACCTGTTAAAGTTCAAAATTTTGAATTTTTGAAAACCGTTATTTTGGAAAATTCAAGCGATAGATAATTTCAAATTTTTTTTTGAATATCCCGAGTCATTTCGTGATAAAAATCGAACTTCCATTTATATTATTATAAAACACACAACGCGAGCGATGATAATTTGAGTTTGCCTGCCATTCTTTTGCTTGCGTTATTAAGGATCAATTTTCTTTACATTTTCCGTTTTTTCACATTCTTCTTTCCTTTATTAAAGCTATGCAAGCACATTGCTTTTGTTTTCAGTTTCGAGAGTGGGAGTGTGCTATTAAATATATTCTTTTCATTCTGATACTCATTAATTTTCATTTTTCAGATAGAAGATACAAGCCTGTTCTTCCGACTTTAAAAGTATATATTGAATGAGAAACGCCAATAAACATTCTTTTACTTTAGTTCGATTGCAAAAAATATGTGTGTCTATCATTATGTTCACTTTTCATTTTTTCAGGCACGAGGGTGGGTCGAATTTGATGATTTTTGAGGTTCTAGGATTGAATAAGTGCCAAATATTCGTAAAAGATCAAAATGTGAACTCTAAATTGATCTAATCTTGTTTAAATTGATGTTATTCAAGCCATGGACCCCCCAATTTTCCAGAAACTGCTCAACATTTCTATCTGGTGCTATGCATCCACGGAGAATAACTTTCATTGCCATCTCACAATAGATTATAAACATTTTCAGCACAAATTGGCACTTAAAACATCCTCAAATGATTTTTAAAGCAATTTTTTTCGTTTAATTGACAATAAAAATTAATTATAGACATTCTGAGTGGGTGGCTCATAAATGAAAAATTGCAGATTTAATTACTCCTGGATTAATTATTAATAGCTTAACAGGCACTCAAACAATCATCGTTTATTGTCATTATTTTCATGCCATCTCTAGCTCACGCGATGAATAATATTCAAATCATAGATAATTGATGATCTTCTCAAACATGTATGCATAGAAACGAGATAGAAAGAGTGAAAATGCTGTTACAAGTGTGATTTTGTAATTTCTAATTTTAGTGGCTTTATTTATAGATTCATATACTTTTTTGATTTCAGGATATTATGTTGAGTGATGGAAGAGTTGGAATAACTTTTATTAAAAAGCTTCTACATTGTTAACGGAAATTTTGAATTCAAAAATAAACAGTCATTTTAAATTTGAAAAATTGAATAGAAATTTTGAACTTGACAGAAATTTGAATTTTTTTTGTTTTTAACGGAAATTTCAAAAAATGACAATTTATGGCATAAATCCTTGACAAAACTCAAGAGACATCAGTAAATATCAACATGTAGCATAAACAATACACAACAATAAAGAGAATAACTGAGATCGCCGAGTAAATTCCTCTCATTTTCTCTTTTAAATTCTCTGTTTTTGTTTTTTTCGTATTACTGTTTTGTGTGCGATCATTTTTGATGCCAGCTTAGTCTCTCACAGTCTTTTGTTGAAAATATACCATAAACCATCCTCAATAGTTATTCGATGCTTGTAAATTTGCCGCGTAGTTTGTTTAATGTTGAGTAAAGTGAATAATCATTGTTTAAACTAAAGAATAAATAATTAAGTTAATTATAGGCAAGTACTGAAAATGCAAAAGACAATTTATGGAGCAGATAAGAATATGACTAAATGTGAGTTATCATGTACAATTGTTGTTTATTGCACTAAAATACAGTACAAAGCCACAAAAACTGCTCATAATTCGAACGATAATACTCATTAAGCTAGTATTGAATATTAAATATTATTGATTTTATTACTAGCTAAGTTCATTTGCCCACAACTTCGTTCCCATTCTACTCGAATTTGAATAATTCACATATAATTTATTGACTTTAATGGAATTTTCTGTTCATTTGGAGAGTCTCAATGGGAAATTGTATTTTTATGGCTTTTGACACACTGGAACCAACCCCTATAATGTAATATTTCAGTCTATGGCTTCATCGAGTCATTTACAACAGCAATTTTTTTTCTGATAAGAGTCACAAACAATCGAAAAACGAGCAAATTTCATGTATTATTAATGAATTTGTGACATATACGGTTCAATTATTATTATTTAATACTCTAATACTCAACAAATGAGTGAGTTAAGCTGTAAAGGAATGAAAAACATTCTTTCCTCAATCGACAATTGGATGATCAAAAAAAGATGATATCATGCGGCAACAAGCCTGTAACGCTCTTTTATTATGCTATATTGCTTATTTTTGAATTCTTTGCAAGTTTGACTAAAGATTTTTATATCATTTTTTAATTTTAAACGGATTTTTAAAATTCAAATTTTAACTTTAGTATTTAAATTTAAATGTCAATAAAATTTTGAACCTTATAACCGATTCATTTAAATTTCAATAATCCGTTACTTTTTCAAACTTCAAAATTCAAAACAGACTCAATCATGAATTTCGATCAAAAACATCAAATTAGTAATTCCCAGACTATTTTTAATTTACTCAACTTTTATCTCCAGATGTGGTTCTCATTCGTTTATTTTTACATCATGTTTTCCTTCTCATTTCTACTCAATATTTAGTCATACATGCTTGTATAGCCTCTTGTTTCTTTTATGAATATATATTTTTTGAAGAGTGATTGACAAGTTAAAATTTATGGCAATCAACAAAGTTTTTTTTTCTTTCCTTCTTCCATAAACTGATACTGTGATGAGAACTAGATGACTCTCGTAAGGAGTAGGAATGAAATTTTTCTCATGCCTTTATCTTGCAAAAAAATTATTTTCAAGGTTATCTTGGCTTGCTAAATATGTAAACATTAAATAGGAGTAGAGATGCTTGTGGGAATGACATCATTCATTGAGATTCGATCGTAGCTTTTTTGTAGCTATAAAATTTCTTTGAGGAAATTGATTGTTTTAATTGAAATTAAACTTTCATTAGCGATTCAGCAGATGCTTGCTGCATGTGTAATCAAATGCTTCTTGATACTACTAGACTGAGTAATTAAAGACTATTTGTGGCTCGAATCGAATATAATTCAATAACGGTCATTTAAAATTCAAAATTTGTATCGGTTATAGAGTTCAAATTTTGAACTTTTATAAAAAAATTCAAATTTTAAGTGACAGTTAATTTTTCAAACTTCTGATATCCGTTATTTTGAACTTGAGCCTAAAATTGCCACAATACAGCAAAAAAAGTGAATAAATTCATCAACACGCCAAATATCTTGAATTATTTCCAAAAAAATAAATCATGCTGTTTTATTAGTCATTATTAAAAGGTTTATTGTATAATCCCATTAACATAGATATTAATTACCTATCATATTGTCGGCTTTTGATAATTCCCGTATGAGTTTTGTATATGTGATTTAATACTGTTATACAATCGGGATTATCGTGATGATAGACAATGTATTATTATTATTATTTGAAATAAGCATTAACTTTTGTATATTTTCAGAACATGTGGAACATATAATTTTTGGAGGAACGCACAAGGCTTAGCAAATTTTATCTGTTTATAAAAGTTGAGTGAAAAGTAGGATAAATACACAATAATGGCAGTTCTAATGAGTTATCATAAGCTCATTGAACGTGATAGTAAACATGTTGACTATTGCTGGAAATGTGAGTCAATTTTGATTTTTATTTTCAACAAATAATAAAATAATTACCCCATTTTACAGGCACAACAATATGCTTATTGGTATTAGCAGTTGTATGCTGTTTCGCAGGATCATTGAGTCTTCAAAAATTAGTTTTAGCATATGACGATCACTGCATCTTAGGAGCAGATTTAAAATTTAAACTAAAACCAGCTGTAAATTCATCAGGTTCATCGAGTTTTGTTTATGCAGAGACAAAGACATTCACATTGAATGATTATTACACGCCAGAAATTGCAAGCAGATTAAGTCCTTTTGATACGGGACATACTTATTCTGAAGAGCAGCTTAGTTTATTAGATGAATGTGAGTATTAAGTTGTCTTTGAGTTTTAACGGAAGAATTGTCAAATTACAACGGTTTTTAAAAATTCGAATAGATTAAGGTTCAAAAATTGAACTTTAGATTTTGAATTTCTTAAAACTGTTAAAATTTAAGTGTTAAAAATCCGTAAAATTTAAATACTTTTTGATGCTTAAAATATCAATCTCGCACTCACAGTTCAAATTGACGACAAAGAGACGAGCTGGGGAAAGTATTCGACATGTGACTTTGCTATTTTCATACCAATCTTTCAGTTATGCTTTGGAATTATCATCACAGTAATGTTCATAATTTGTGGAAAGGGTGGAAAAGCAGAACAAAGCTCCTTCCTCCCACAACCGTGGAGAATTGTGACACCGTCATTAATATTCTTCATAGCAATGACTTGCACATCAATAGCAAATTTGACAAGCATTCATAAAGGAATGAATAGATTCTGTGAAGGATTTATTAATCATGCGCCGGATATTGGATGTTTAGTGTCAATGAATAAGTTTGCTATAAAGGATATCTCATTGATTGTGCCATCGATCTTTTACATAAGTGTACTTACATTCAGTTGGATCTTACTGACTTGTTGGGTAGTTCTTCTGTGCGTGATGGCAGCAAGAGTGATTTTTGTAATTGACTTTCAGCTAGTAAGAGTAACAATCAAGACATGTGAGCAATATGAAGCTGACAAATCAAATTATCAAGTCATTGAGCCACAGGAACAGGATAAAGATGGTAAAGCCGAGGAATGCTAGATTTAATATTAAGGAAGCTTTAGACAAACTAGATTTTAAGAATTTAATGTATTTAACTAATTTTATTTTTTATAACACAGACAATGTCGAAGATGTCCTTTATCAAGAACTTTTTCAAGATTACACGTAATTATATATTATTCTTTGTATGTTGCCATTAATCAGAACAATCAGAAACAAATAAGTCGTAATTTTATATTTATTTTAATAATTAATTAAATGATATTTGTAATAAACATAATAATAAGGTGGATCATTAGCTTTTATATATATCCATTAAATTATCACAGATTACGATTTGGACGTGACAAAAAATACTAATATTATGGATGTGCATAACATCCTTAAATACTGATGAAGAACATTAATTAGCAGTGTCATTCATGTCTTTACGTTTCCTTAATCTCACTTTACGTCCGATTCCAAAGCAGTGCTCTAAATGATTCGCAAATTTCGTGACAGCAACAACTTTTGCGCAATTTGAGCACTTACAGTAAACAATTTTCTTCTTAGTCTTATTTTCATGATAAGTATCACCATTGCTTGTATTCTGTTCTGTATCATTCGTCATGTCTTGATTACTACTACTTGATTCAATACTGTCATGTTCCTGTAACTAATTAAATTGAGCTATAGGATTAACGTGAGTGGGAATTTAAAGGATTAGTCTGTTACTTCTTTTTCTGTATCCAATTTTTTCAATGCAAAGTGAGCCTCGAATACATAACTTAAGATTAAATCGTCAATTAACTCAGAAAAAATGTATTCTGAAGCATAACTTAGCTGTTTATCATTTTTAATTAACTGCTGATATTCCTCATTTAACTTCACTTCACATTCATCTAAGCTGCTCTTATTGGCACATATTAAATCACTTAATTTATGTACTTCTATATTCATTTTTCCTCCTTTTGTTTTGGTTTAATTTTGCTTTTATAGCTTCAGAGCGATTCTCCTTATTTTGTCTATGATTTCTTATACTGGATCTTGACTAGTGCAATGTTTGCTTGCTAAAGAAGCTTTTTTGCTGCTTATTTGACCAGAATATTCCTTAATTAAAGAAGAATTGGCTATAATGGAATTTTAAATGAAGCTATTTGTTCAGTAAACCAAAATAATGTTCTTTTCAGTTCATTTTATTTGAATTTTTCAAAAGCCGTTCGTTTAATTTCAGTTCTTTTGAAAACCGCTGCAAAAGCTTCAAAAATTCCATACTATAGTTAACTTTTGAAAGCCATACATAAATGCGTTCAAAACAATAAGCATACAGCATGAATTAAAACTATTGATTATTTCGACGATTTTCACAGCAAAAATCATAAAAGCGCTTTTAAAGCTCGTCTAAAAAAGCTCAAGACTTTGTCAACTTGCGCAATTTTGATAAACAATAGAAAATCATGATTTCAAGTATAATTAAAAATGCATTACAAAGCCATGCTGTACGTTCTAATTACATCAATCATATAGGAAAGATTGCATTTTATTCGAGTAGTCAGAATAAGAATGTCCAAAAGGACGAACAAGGAGGTGAGAGACGAAAAACCAAACCAATCCCAAGAATTTCTTTAATTTATGAAGATAGTAAAATGGAAGTAATTACACTGGAACAAGCAAAAAAGATAGCAGAGAAGCGTAAACTAAAGTTGGTTAATATTATTGATTACGACACAAAATCCAGTCGTCCAGTTTATAAGTAAGCATTCCTCAATTATTAAGACGCAAATCAAACTTATTTAAATAAACTTTCACTCTAGACTTATGACAAGCCATGATTATCATTCAGAAGAGCTTAAGAAACGTGAAGAGAAGAAATTCGCAAAGAATCAACCGCATATTAAGTCAGAGAAGCTATTGTCATTAAGCACTAAAATTACTGAGCATGACTTGCTATCTAAAGTTAATAAATGCAAGAAATGGGTTGAAAAAATGCACGAGGTTCGAGTTGTAGTCTCTGCTGATGATAATGACATGACTAAGGCTGAAAAGTTATGTGGAACAATAGAAAAAGAAATTAAGGAGGTCGATGGTCGAGTTTTGCAGAAACGATCAAAAGACAATTCGATTAAATTTACAATTATGCCAACAATAAAGAAGGAAGATCAGCATGTTAAAGGCACACATGATCAGCACGAGAAGAAATTTTTAGAACCAGAACACATTAATATGCAGCAAGTTAGAAGCGTTCATTTAATCTGACAATTACAGCATTTTTGTCACCATCAAGTTCTATTAAATAGCACTAGTAATAATTGTAGCAAGGAAATGTGTACGAAATGCGATAAGGGTGACAAAAAAACGGCTTTGAAGAAATATAGGATAGCTGCTTACTTTAGCATGTTCCTTCTAGTTAAATATTCATTTTGGTCATCTGTTTATCATAGCTTCCAAAACCGTTAAAAACGGAATTTATTAAATTTTCAGTAAAAAGTACTTTAATTTTAATATCAACTTGTTTTAAATGAAGCTTTGAAATTTAACGGTTAAAATATGTTTAAATAATGGTTGATCAATTTTTGAACCTTGAAAACCGATTCAGAAATTGACTTTTTTAAAGACGTTACATTTCAAATTTTAGCCGTTAAATCTCCAGCAAGCACGTGTTGCATGCAAAATTAAAAATTACAGTTCAACATGCTCATCTAGAATCTTTTTGAGACAATCTTTGGTATCCATTTTTGTCAGGTCACATAAGGCACTTAGGTCAACTTTCTTAAACTCTTCGAGTAGCTGCTTAGTCTTTTCTTGAGATATAATCTTCTTAATATTATTTTTCGTGTTTTCACTTGTTTCACTTGTTGCTTCATCATTCCTGTTGTCTTCTAATGGCCATAACTCTTCAGATGTGAGATTTTCTTCGTTTTCTAGTTCCTCATCAGTGTTATCAGGTTCATCGTTCACTGGATCTTTTTCAAAATTCACTGTATCTTGAATCTCATCATTAATAACAAGTTCCTCGGACTGGATGTCAATGTTCTCTATAGTTCCAGATTCCTCGCTTTCTCTCTGCTGCTCTTCCATTTTTCCAGCCTCAATAATTTCCTTCATTTTTAATTTATTTATTGACGACCTTAATCGCTTTTTCTTCAAGACTTTTGGCTTTTCCTGGATCTCGTCCTGAACTTCTAGCTCGATTTCTAGTTCATCTTCAATATCCTCAGTATCTAATTCACTTCCACTTTGCTCATTTTCATCGATTGAAACATCAAAGAATCTTTTAAGCAGCACAGCATTTGGTCTCCTTTTCATAATCATTATGCATGGCTTTGTGCGTATTTTTAAAGGAACTAGACTCGTATAATGCACACCAATATTGCTAAAGCACTCAATAAGCTCAATTTTCTCATGTGTAGACTGCAAAAGGCGCATTTCTGGTGCATACTTGTTCTTAACTTCAGTCAACAAGTAATCAAATTTGTGCAGCTCCTCATCGCCAGCCTTTAAATGCTCATCTTTACTGTATGTCCAATTAGAATATATTTCCGTAAATCGAGTCACTCCACTTTGTGCTGTCAAATTATCAATGTGAATTGTGACATTTTGGTCATTTGTAGCTAATCTGTGAATTTTGGAAATGGCAATTCCACCTGGATAATTAGTTTTGGACACAGTCAATAAAAATACTGTAAGTACGAAATTTCCAATAAGATGTCCAGCAGCAATTATTGAGAAAGCTGTATGGATCATTGACTTAGTTCTGTTATTCCACAACCGTTGACAAGCACATGCACTGGCTATATTGAGCATTGGGAAGACATAGATAATAAATCTTAGTTCCTTATGTGGTAAGAATGAGTAAATTAGTACGAAGATTATTGCAGGTATTGTTATAGCTCTAATACGAGGCTCAACAAATAATCCATAAGGCACAAAGATTAATGAGACCCCTAAAGCTCTCGGAAGTGCTGAATAAAAGTACCATAAAAATGGTGATGTTCCCCAGTCAGAGCTCTTATTAAGGACGGTATTATAAAACAGCACTTCCATTTCGGGCCATAAAAGTCTTTTCCAAAAATACGAATCAATTCCAATTGTTAAAAGTATTAAGGATATTGCTGTTGGGATGCCAAATTTTAGTAATTCAATTATGGATAGTCGCTTATAAAAGAGATCATAGATTAGTAAAAGTCCTAGAAAGATCACAAGTTCCGATCTAAAGATAATAATTGATGCACCAGCAAATGTTAAAAATTTCTTCTTTTCTCGTTTAAGCCATGAGTTAACAGCCAATAATACAAGTGGAAGTGTCATGATATTTGGCAATGTCCTACTCATATAAAACGTAAAATGAAACTGAGTTAATGTGATTAAAAGTAGCCAAATAGACACTTCAATTCCAAGCTTTTGTCGAATCGTTTTCATCAATTGATTCCATGTGTAGGACACAAATGCAGCTAGTGTCATTCGCACTAAAAGAAATATTATGTCATTAAATTGTTAGATCAATAAATGCTGCATATATATTGCATTGCTATAATTACCCAAATATTGCGACCAGAATTTATTAATGTTTAAAACATTGATAATTGCTACAATCGGTGAAATGCAAAGGGATATGACAAGGGGACCGATAAATGTACGCGGAACTACCCCTGGAAACTCATGATGATCGTACTGTAACAAAGGATGTTATATTTATAATGTTCAGATCCCGGAAAAATCTTTTTTCATACTTGAGATAAATTTAATCGATGATATAGGATGTCGTGTATTGCCTGCATGTTAAAACTCTCTTCCACTTTCGTGAATGGTGTATAAAAGCAATAAAACATTGCCACAAAGAATATAGGAAGTGACATTTCTAATATTTCTTTAATTCACACAAATAATGAAAAAATTTATCAACACATAATTTTTCTAAATACATTTCTAGACTCACTCCTTCCCCTGATGCAAAGCTGCTAGCCTATTTATGCTGGATATACTGTTTCTAACGATTGATGATGACAAAGTTCAAAAATAGCCGTTAACTTTGAAATTTGAGTGATAAAGTTCAAAAATTGAACCTGGCAATAAATTTCAAAAATTAAACTACCGTTAAATTATTTATAAACAACACTCGATTCTACAACCATCAATCTACACAAAAAAATAATTAAACTAATAAAAGTCAAGCAACAGCGCGATATTTCATCATTACAAAGCAGTTTGCAACTTATCCCTTGTAGCAAATCAACAAGATTAATTCCAGGTCATCAAAAAATTGTGTAGGAAAGTTTTCTATAAAAATTAATTAAAATACATAGCACAGCTCATAGTAGAGTCGATAAAATCATTAAATAGTAAAAGAACTCCAAGCTATCTAACAATGGTGAGTCAAAATGAGTGAAATAGCCATGAATTATTGATGAAAATTGAAAATTTAAATTAGGTTTTGATATCAGCAGCAGTATGCACGAAATCAGGCAAAAGTAAGTTAATTACAGCAATAACAAGCCTCATTTAATAATAATAATGTCTAATTTTACAGCGATTGTCTCGAGACAATTTGTTGAGATGACAAAATCCAGAATAGAAGGTCTTTTAGCTGCATTTCCCAAATTGATGACATCCGGAAAACAACATACATTCGTAGAAACGGAATCTGTAAGATATGTATATCAGCCAATGGAAAAACTATACATGTTGTTAATTACTACAAAGGCTAGTAACATATTAGAGGATCTTGAGACTCTTCGATTATTCTCAAAAGTTGTAAGTTCTTCAAAACGTACCTAATTTCCATTTTGGATCTTATTAATAACTATTTATCTCTCTTAGATTCCAGAATACTGTCGAACTCTTGATGAAAAAGATATCCTTGATAATGCATTCAACTTGATTTTCGCATTCGATGAGATTGTCGCTTTGGGATATAGGGAAAGTGTCAATTTGGCACAGATTAAAACATTCGTTGAGATGGATTCACACGAAGAAAAAGTATTTCAGGCAGTTCGTGAGACTCAAGAGAAGGAAGCTAAACAGAAAATGCGAGAAAAGGCGAAAGAATTGCAACGTCAGCGTATGGAATCTCAAAAGAAAGGCATTCCAATGCGTAGCTATGGAAATAGCAGTGACAGTTTTGGTGTATCAAGTAGCATTTCATCATCATCAAGTCCAACAATTGGAATTGCTGATATTCCAAAGTCAACTCCAACAATTTCTTCAAAAACTGCACCAACGAAAAATGCACTAAAATTGGGTGGAAAGACTCGAGATGTCGATTCCTTTGTTGATCAGCTAAAGAGTGAAGGTGAAAAGGTAACTACTTTGACATCAACTGCTAATACCATAGCGTCGACAGTCGCTCAAATTCGTCCAAAATCGGATATTCAAATGGATGAAGTTCATTTACGTGTTGAGGATAAATTAACAGTAAGAATAGGTCGTGACGGTGGATTGCAAACATTTGAACTTGCCGGCTTATTAACATTGCGTGTATCGGATGAGAAATATGGAAGAATTAAGATATTTTTGGATAATAATGATCAACGTGGAATTCAGCTTCAAACTCATCCAAATATCGATAAGGATTTATTTAGAAATAAGAGTCAGATTGGCTTAAAAAATCCAGCAAAACCATTCCCAATGAATACGGATGTAGGAGTTCTTAAATGGCGTTATACTACACAAGACGAAAGTGCTGTGCCATTAACCAGTAAGTAACGGATTTATGATTTTCAAATTTTAACGATTTTTGAGGAATTGAAAATTTTTGACTATATTCAAATCTGATATTTCAGTTAATTGCTGGCCATCAGAAAATGGCGAAGGAGGATGTGACGTGAATATTGAATATGAATTAGAGAATACAAAGCTTGACTTACAAGATGTGACAATAGCGATTCCATTGCCCATGGGTGTGACTCCATCAATAACTGAATGCGATGGCGAATATAATCACGATTCACGTAAGCATCAACTTCTTTGGAATCTACCTGTTATCGATGCATCAAATAAGCAAGGAGCTATGGAATTTTCAGTAGGATCTTCAATTCCTGGAGACTTTTTCCCTGTTACTCTATCATTTGTCTCAAAGACACTTTATGCTGACTTAAAACCAGCACAAATAACATTTGTTGATGATGAATCGAATCATGTTAAGTATTCAATCGAGACAGTCCTGTATGCTGAAAAATATGAAGTAGTTTAAGAGATTGTTAAATTTGTGCTGGACATTATAATTATTTTTTTAAAATATTTTATCTACTATACTATGCAAGAAAAATCTTCCCACACACATAATTAATTATTATTGTAAATCCAATTTGGTTCTAGATTAATAAAAATGAAAATGCTAAAAACAATGAAAAGTTTCCGAAACTGACAAGATTTTCAGGTAGAAAATTGATGTCTTATTGATGTTGAAACTATAACAGACAGTAACAGTCAGCATCTCATCAAGCGAACATCTCTAAATTACAATGGAAAAAGTTTGTAAAGAAATTGCAGTTTATACATCCACGCCGTGCCTTAAAAGTTCGCAAGGAAGAAAGATTTTAAAGCAGTTGTTTTTAACAAATTTCCCAAAAGATGTGTCATTTCAAGAAGAAGTTAAAAAAGAGGATCCAATTGAGTTATTAAGAGAGAAGTTCAATTTTTCAACGCCATTATTCATCAACACGCCAACGGAATCCTTAACACCAAATACTAGGCAAATTTTTGAAGAAAACTTTAAGAAATCAATTCGTGCTAAGCTTAAACGACGATGCATTCGACTTTAAACCATAATTAATGTTTTTGATCGCAATTAACTTTGGATTTTGTTGAAATATAAAATTTTGTCATTTTTATTCATCCGTTAAAGTGTTCGAACGTGTTTTCTTCTAAATTCACAGTTTAATAAAATATTTTTCAACTTACTTCAGAAGATGGCTTGCAACAATTCATTCCCTTGTGTCCCATGTCCACCAAAAGATGTAAGCATAAGAAATAATTATTAAATTATAAGGATTTTTAACAATTGAATTTTACCGATCTTTGATGATTCAAAATGCAACGATTGCTGAGATTTTTAAATTTCAAAAACTCGTTAATTTAAACCGATTCAAATTTCTATTTTCAGTGTGGTCCAAAATGCATGACAGCACCAGAACTAGCATGTATGCCTCAATGCCCTTCAATCTGTCCACCTCAAACTTGTGGACCACAATTTGTGAAAGTTCAGCAACCACCAAAGCTCGTGTGTCAAAAACAAGTAGTTTATACAAAACGAACAGTCATTGATAAGCATGTTATGCCTAATACGAAGGAAATTTGTGAACCAAGACTAATCTATCAACCCAAAGTGATCTGTGAGCCGTGTATTGTCTACAAAAAGAGGGTTGTTCCTGAACCAAAGATTGTCTATTACAAAAGAATCGTTCCTGATCCAAAAGTTGTTTGTCAGCCACGAACAATTGTGGAACCTAAAGAAATTTGTCAAACAATGGTGTGTCAACCGAAGCCTCAAGTCATTCAAATTCCACAACCAAAAGAATACATGTGTGCACCGACAGGAACTACGTTTTATAATAGACCAGGATGTGCACCAGTTCCTTGCTTGCCTCTTGCAAAGCCTTGTGATCCTTGTGCACCAAAGGAATTTTCATGCTATGATCCATGCTGTCCACCGAAATGTCCATCTCCTTATATTCGGAAGTGCTAAATGTTTGAAATGAAAATAAAATTATATATTTCTATGTAAAATTAACGACTTTATTCAATTCAAATTTTTTGCATATTTTGAGGAACAAACTTTAAACTCTAATTAATGAATATCTGGTGTGTATAAGGGAACTAGCTGTTTAATTCACTTCTAATTATCATTATCTTTTAGCTTGGTATCTGATTTCTTCTTTCCAAATCATGGAGGAGTCGAGGAGCACATATATAACTTAGCACAATGTTTATCAGAAACTGGTAATAAAGTAATCATAATAACACACAGTTATGGCGATAGGAAAGGTATACGATGGATGACGAATGGATTGAAAGTCTATTATCTACCAATCAAAGTGTTTTACAATCAATGCATCCTTCCTACTATGATTGCAAACATTCCAATGCTTAGAAATATTTTTATTAGAGAACAAATCCATATTGTGCATGGACATTCAGCATTCTCAGCTCTAGCACATGAAGCTATGAATATTGGAGTCTTGATGGGATTAAGAGCTATATTTACAGACCACAGCTTGTTTGGATTTGCTGATCTTTCAGCTGTTGTGACCAACAAGTTTTTACAGCTAAGTCTGGCATTCTGCAATCATTTTATCTGTGTATCACATATTGGGAAGGAGAATACAGTACTAAGAGGAAGGATGATAGCATCAAAAGTCAGTGTAATTCCAAATGCTGTTAATTGTCTTCAATTTACACCAAATCCAATAAATCGTGATAATAAATCAATTACTATAGTCGTTGTCTCGAGGCTGGTTTATCGGAAAGGAATTGACTTACTGAGCAGTGTGATTCCATATTTTAAAAATCGACATGATATAAACTTTATAATAGCTGGTGATGGACCAAAGAGAGAATTATTGGAAGAAATTAGAGAAAAGAATTATATGCAGGATAGAATTCAAATGCTTGGTGCTTTAGAGCATTCAGAAGTCAGAGATGTACTCACAAGAGGTCACATATTCCTTAATACATCATTAACAGAGGCTTATTGCATGGCTATTGTTGAAGCATGCTCTGTTGGACTTCACATTGTGTCTACAAATGTTGGGGGAATTCCAGAAGTACTTCCTGAAAAATTAAATGTCATTCTTACTCAACCTGATCCAAAAGCCATAATTAATGCATTAGAACAAACTATTGATAGAATTAAGAGATTTAGAAAAGGAAAATCGACAGCAAATGAAATCACGTGTCCTTTTCGAGTCAATCAAATCGTGTCAAAGCTGTATAATTGGAGTGACGTTAGTGCAAGGACAGAGATAATATATAGAAAAGTTTTACAGGAACCAAGGATGAGTTTAAAGACAATTATGACAAATGTGCTGCATAGAAGTGGCGTTTATTTATTCCTATTAGTCATATCATTATGTTTTGTAATCCTTAAATTTCTTGACTGGTTCTATCCAGCTGACAACATTGAAATCTGTCCAAATTTCAATGAACGACGAAAAGCTAAATTGAAAAGCCAAATAAATTAAATTATTTATTTTTTCACTGTATCAATTTATTCAACCTAAATAGTTTTTCCATTTCCACCACAAAGATACTTTCATTAACGTTATGAAAATATTGTTTCTTTACATTATTCATTATTCTTGTATAAGTTTCAACTTTATCACTGATTCAATTTTCATTTTCTTTACTTTATTTAAGTCTTACAGCTCACGAATTGGTTTCTTTCTTCTCACTTCCCGCACATTTTTGCGAATCATTCTTGAGTTCTGACTTGATTGATTGATTATGCTGAATGTTTGTGTTTATTGATAGAATTATAGCGACTTTTTGATATTTAATGAAGAAATTAATATAACATCAATTTACATTTCACCTGCAGCATCGAGACTGCAGTCAAAGTTATTCTTTTCACAAATTTTCAATAAACCCGGCCAACATGTTGTTGCGGGTGACTTTAATTGTAAGCACACAGCGTGGAACAATGTGAATAGAGATCATAAAGGCATTGACCTTTATGATCTTTCTTCATCTCGTAATTATAACATCCTAGCACCTGATGCGCCAACTCACATTCCGTACGTCGGCGATGTCTCGACTATTGACTTAGTATTTCACAAATCCAATCTTCGATTCTCAAATCCAGTAACAATTAATGACCTTTCATCTGATCATCTTCCAGTCTCTTTCTCAATCCTAAATAATTATGGTGGAGGTAGTGGCGTTGCAGGACTCAATCTCACGAAAGCTAATTGGAAGAAATTTAGAAACTTTATTAATTTTGACGTCTCCAGAGAGACATTTAGTAATTCCACAGTAGAGGACATTGACGTGTCAATAGCCAGGTTGACTTCGATTGTTGAAAGCAGCATGCAAGCTTGCATACCTAAGAAGCGAGTCGCTAGGAACAGATATATGTATTCTGTTAGGATAAAGAATTTGATTTCTCACAGAAATCAATTCCGTAGCCTTTATCAGAGTACATATGATCAGTCATATAAATCGTGCGTTAATCAGTTGAACAGAATGATTAGAAGAGAGATCCAGCAAGAAAAAAAGTTTCAGTGGAACGAGAAATTAAAATCGTTGTCATATCGCGACAATTCACTTTTTGAATTTACAAAGTCAGTCAAGAAAAAGAATCAACTAATTCCCCCATTAAGAGACAGCAATGATTTCGCGTACTCAAGTCACAATAAAGCAAACCTATTAGCTAAAACATTCCTGGACATCCACAATGTCTCAGCTAATTCCACTTCTAAACACGAATCAATAGTGAGAGAATCCATCCACAATATTAACAGCTCACCGAGCAGTGAATTCGATAATATTGATGAGAATCGAGTCAGTCAAGTCTTGAAAAGTCTAAATGTCAAAAAGGCATCCGGACCAGATCTTATTCCAAACGCAGCTCTTAAAGCTCTTAGCAGTTCAGAGAACTTTGTGAGCAAATTAACGTCAATATTCAATGGATGTCTCTCATTATCTTACTTCCCAAAATCGTGGAAGATTGCTAAAATTATTCCGATTCCTAAATCGAAGCCTGCTTCTACAAATTCAACCGACTATCGCCCAATATCATTGCTGTCAACTATGGGTAAGGTCTTTGAGAGACTGATCCTAGATCGTCTGAATGACTTTGAAGAATCCAATAGCATAATAATAAATCAGCAATTTGGATTTAAATCTAATCACTCGACTGTTCAACAAATCTTAAGAATAACTGAAAAAGCATCACTAGGCTTTAATAAAAATAAAAGTCTTGGCATGGTGATGCTGGATCTCAGAAAAGCCTACGACTCAGTATGGCATGATGCTTTAGTCCACAAGTTGAAGAAACTTGGTTATCCAATGTATCTCATTAAGCTTATTAATTCATATCTTAGAGATAGATTGGCTTTCGTGACTGTTGGCGACTCTGTCTCAGCAATGTTTAAAATCCTAGCTGGAGTTCCTCAAGGTTCGATTATAGCTCCACATTTGTTCAATGTCTTCATTAACGACATTCCGATTCCTTCTAGAGGTGAGTTGGCTTTGTTCGCTGATGACACTGCATACTTTATTGAAGCCCCCTGGAAAAATTTAAAGCTCATTAAAAACCATTTAGTTAATACATTGCAGTCATTCCAGAATTTCTTTCATGAGTGGAAGATATTCTTGAATGACAGTAAGACCGAATTTATAGTCTTTTCGAGATCCACAAAAATGATTCAGAAATGTCAGGATGATGTGATTAAATTTAATTCACTTGAATTCAGATGGAAAAGTCAAGTAAAATACCTTGGAATTATTCTAGATACAAAATTAACGTACAAGAGTCACGTTGATTGGATATTGCGAAAAGCAAAGTCTGTTGCGTTCTCTCAGCTGTATTGCTTGCTTAAACGAAATTCGGGAGTCACAGTTGATTCAAAACTCAGAATTTATAAATCTATAATAAGACCAGTCGTCGCTTATGGATGTAGCATTTTCATTAATTGTGCAGCTTCACACTTAAACAAAATCCAAATTTTCCAAAATAAAGTTTTAAGATACGTTCTCGACATCAATTGGGATGATTTCGTCTCAAATCTTGAAGTTCATAGTCGAGCAAAGATTCCATTCATGGCTGATTTCTTCAATAAGCTTACAGTCAACTTCTATCATAGAATTGACAGTCATAAGAACACGTTGATCAATAATCTTGGAAAATACGACTACTCTCATCTTGAATATCGACTCAAACACAAACTTCCAAGACCTGTAACATTACTTTAAAAGTTATGGGTATCATTATTTAGTTCCAAGTGGTTCTTCTAACTACTTTATATGTTTTTTATACTTACCTGAGTACTTATTCACTTTTCCTTTTTTCCTTTTTTTTTTTTTTTATATAAAATTTTCCTCACGTTGGGTTGCTTTTTTCAAATTTTTAGCCCATATTAACAATTCACTCATTTAACTCATAAACTTCACATTATCTCCATAAACTCTCATGCTTCAATAATGAGTTAAAACCGCAAAGGTTGGTATCATTAATGTTAACTGCAATTATTGTAAAAAAAAAACAAATCTACCAAAGTTCATTACAATAAAGACTAACTTTCTTATATTTTTGATATTTAAAAGTCAACGGATTTTTCAGATTTGAATTTTTGAACTTCGCAAAACTATGTTTTGAACTCAAGAAAGTTCAAATTTCAAAATCCCGTTAATTTTTTGAATTCAAACAATTTTAAAATTTTTGAACTTTAAAACCGATAAAATTCAAATTTTAAAACACCGTTAATTTTCAAATCTATTAAGACCGTTAAATTTATTTAACAAATTTTATCAATCATGCTCGCAAAACATGCGCTGAGTACGGACACTTTTAACAATCTCTGTAGTTTTTAAATTTAATAGCATATTAAGCATATAATCTATTTACAAAAGAATTTCATAAATATCTCTTTTTACATCGGTAATCGTATTTTAAAGGAATTTAATTAGGTTTACAATAAATTACTTAATTGTAGTGATTAGCGTGCGATCTCACTGTACAAAAATAACAAAGAAAAAACTATAAGTTCCTTAAATCACTAATTTAAACTTAATTTAGCAGCAAACCAAAAAAGGTGGTTTAATTAACAAGCAAAAAATAAGGATGTGCAGGTTTAAGTAGATAGTACAACCGATTTTTTAGAATTGCAAATGCACCATCAAATTCTTCATCATTGTCACAAGTTTCGTTCAAATTAATACAGAAAATTAATGCTTAGATTTGCTTGTGATTGCGGAAACTAGGGAGGACAGGAAAGCAGCATATAGTTCCCAATTATTATTATTATTTGTTGACTTATCTTGTTATTTTCTAATCAGTTTCATTGCCTATTTTTACACTCTTTTCAATAGTTTTCTTCTTTTGTCTTCTTTATGTGATGTAGAAAATATCATTGAAACGTCATCAGTCTTTTTTCCGTCGTAAAGTTACAGAAAAATCGTAAATAATCATATTACGATCAGATATATAGAGTAATAATAGTAATAAAGAAGAGGTAATCGTCTTATGTGTTTTTAGGGTCGCTTACCCAAGACATCCAATTTTAACGAACTTTTAGAATTTGAGTTTTTGGACTGATTGAGTTCAAATTTCAAAAATCCATTAAAATTCGGAAAAATTTTTAAAAATTTAGATGTCATGAGCAATCAATCCCCATTTTTTTGGTTTTCTTTCTCCTCATATTTTTTTGCGATCCTATTTACACATTTTGAGTAGGTTTTGGAATGATTTTTTTGAATTATGCCTGTATACCGCCATCTCAACATAATAATAATAACTTAATATCCTAGACAGAGAGACTAAATAGTTTCTTCACTTAAATTAATCTCCTTTCAGCCTCTCTGCAAACTTTTCTTGCTGTATTTCTTTCCATTCCTTTTTGGCTTTCATTCTCTTTAATTGACCATCCCAGACTAGATCAATTAGTCCTCCCTGCTTTGCAATTACGCTCTTTACTCGATTTGCAAAATCTATAGCTGATTCGTCTTCTTCACGATACATTGGCGGTAAATACCAAACATCACAAACTATTGCCCATGATGTCATCATCATGTATAGGTATTGAATCATTGAATCTTTTGAACTGTTCCAAAATGCATCTCCAAAGCGTGCATCGTACCTAAAAGAATTAATTGAGAATTTTAAACAACTTCTCGAAGCTATTTTTGGGTATGTATACTTTATGGCAACTGGATAGATAACGCCTCCGACTTCAAAACTTCCTTTTTTGAACTGCATAACTGTATAAGCACAAAAAATATAAAGCAAAACGTAATCGATTATTCATCACTCATTGTTTAATTAAAAATAGTTTTAAATGTCACTCACCTGACGTGTTATTGATACATGTTCCTTCTGGGAAGATTAAAATTGGTGGATTTTTGGGATCTGATACGTGCTGTCTTAGTCTGAAATAAATTATTTAAGTTGTAAAATTCAAATTTAAAAGTTCCTTTAAAAATGTAGCTCACCTAGTAGCAACTGCTGATCTGTCCTTAGCTTCAGCTCTTTCAAACCAAATATGAGGAGAAGCTCTTCCTAATGCTCGTTGTAAAATCCCAAGGAATCCTCCATGTCGCTGTCCAATCTACACACAAATTTCGTAAAGAATTTATTAGCAAAAAATCATAATTATTTTAATTTCCCCAAAGCATGCAACAAATCACATGAAATATCAAAGCGCATGCAAAGTTAGAAAAGACAGCAAGTCAAAGTCACAATATGACATGTAATTACATGAGATAGATGCAATTATCATACTATAAACTTAATATAAAAGCCTCCCTAATATAATACTAATAATCCATTAAAAATCATAAGATTAAGGTCAAATAAGAAATTAAGTTCAATGCAAAACTAAAGGAAATAATAGTTAAGTAGGTTGAGATTTCGAAACGTCATTGAAAATAACAAAAACTTACCAGCGAGTAACAATTATCACACATGAGAACTAAAGCATCTATTGGTGATGTGTGATTAGCTACGCAAATACCATTAACTGGACGATTTTCAGGATTATGATAGTTTACCACAGATGAGATTGAGTTTGATAAAAATTCGAAGCAATGAATAAGCGTGAGTTTAACGATTCGTCGTTTTAAATCTCCTTGAGGAAGCGACCATCCTACAACGGCTGTACAAAACGTTAACCAATAAACCTGCATTTTGGCAAAATCAAAAAATGTGTGGATGGATAAACATTCAAGTGATATTATATGCTATAATTGATTGTTGCTTTAGGTCAGATGTATGAACTAATATTAATAAATTATTTAACGTTCAAAAGAGGTTTAAAATTTAACGGTTGAAAAAAATTCAAAATTTTTTGAACTTTGCGAAAATTTTAAATCTGAAAAGTTCGTTAAAATACGTTCTTACATCATGCCTGAATTAAGAATAAATTACTTAAAAGTATGATCAAACTAGACAAATACAGTCCCGCAGATGAATATAATGACTTAATTGACATTAGACAAGTGACATAAAACAATTATTCCCAAAAAGAGCGTGCAGCTGATAAGAAATTCCGGCGATTCTCACCAATGAATAGGTACAATCAGTAGATAAGATTGCGACATCGATTGGCGATGTGTGATTTGCTACACAAAAACCGCAATTTTTTGGCTGATATTCTTCATTGTGGACAATAATTAAGGCAGACAATGATCGAATAATTATTCTGTACGCGACTAAAGACACTTTGTTGTTCATCCAAAGTCTCAGGTCCTCAAATGGAACAAATCCAACGATTGTCATTGCCACAACCAACCAACCGACCTTATTTTCATCAATTACATTATTCCCTATGAAAATTTAAATGTTCTAGTTTAATAATCGTTCTACTCACCCCAATAAAGCATATGATAACCCTCAATGGCATTAAGAATAAGTATCTTATTAGAAACCCTATAACCCATAGGACTGTCAGCCTCCACGAAATAAATTCATATCCTCTATTTGTTCTCGTCAGAAGATTCCAATTTTTGAGCTCCTCAGCCTGAAATCTTGAAGTCACATCATCCTCAATTATTGCTTCCATCCCAGACTTGACATACTCTAAACAATCATCGAGTTTGAAGTCATTTAATTTGTTGTCTTTATCGCTAATTTTTTGCTAAAATCAGTCAATCAAGAGAGAAAATGTGGTAGGTTATTATCAGCATTAAAAATACAATTTTCAGGCAGGGATTATCGCACGATTAATAAAGTTGACATTTTTTTTTTGATAAATCACGTAAATCACTATAAATTGGCCGTAATATAATACTTTTATTGGTTTAAATGATTCATTTGACGTAATAAAAGCTTTTTAAGTTTACAGGTCTGAAACTGGAAGTAATTTAAGCCGATTAAAGCTTGTAAATTAATTTAAATCTGGGGATTAAAAATTAATCCAACGATTAAAATGTGAATTTCTTGAGCCTATATTCAAATTTTGAACTTCCGTTGTTTTTCAAATTTTTAAAATATGTTAGAAAGTTTAAAAGTCAGTAATCGATCATGGACTTAATTCGATAACATTCAGACACAACAAACGTACACCCAGCCTTAATAATAGCTATAATTACCTCATCATCATTATTGTTTAGCAATATTGGCGATTCTTTTCCATTGCTCTGATTCACAGCTGTCGAAATTGTCTTATCAGGGACCAAAATAAGTGATTCTTTTGAAATGACGGAATTTCCATTTCCATTTCCAATATTGCCATTTGAACTAATTTTTCTAATAATTCCATTTTTCTTTGGTATTTCCAAATTATCAACGACTTGATCCACAGATTTCTCTTTTTCATGATCAGCCTCATCTTCGGTGTCACTTGCACAATCGGAACTGCTGTCTTTTCGCTTAATTGCTGATTCAATATTAGCACGACCGTACTGAAAGTGGAGTAATATTGTCTATTTTTATTATGTCTGTATACATGCACATGCCCATACTAGCTGTGCTTATGCATTTACTTAATATTTTGAATAATATGTGTCACTCAATAAAAATTAGTTATGGATTTTTTTTGACGCAATTGAGTACATAGGAAAGAGAATCAAACAAGTATTGTGGATTGCATAATGAAGGTTGCTGTTTTTATAGAGGAACTAAAATGAGCAAATTACTGTCTAGAATACGCAAGGAAAACATGTTTCAATTTCTTCAAGGCTAAGCTCGTTCAATGCCTCTCTAAACGTGAGTTTGTTTGGACAGCCATGTATGAGTATGCCTTATCAGCATCAGACTTATAAGAATTTCATTATCACTAACTGGATTTGGATTCACTGAGTCTAATTAAAAGAGATTTTGAGACGTAAATAATGAAATTAATAGATAAAATGAGAATTAAATATAGACAGGAGGTGCAAAAACATTGGAATTTTCTGATAAACCGAATCTTATCACTTAAAAACAAAATTAAGTAAGGTAAAAGCGAAAGTTTGTAATCAAAAATGATATAATCAGATTCACGAATCTCGTCAAATTTATGCTGACGATCTTGAAATATATATTACAGTATATACAGTCAATGACGACGCATTTTCATTTTTTTTTTCTTGAGCCTCGTTCCTTGGACTCTTTTTTTTTCACTTTATGACGCAAATTATCGGATGATACACTTAAATATTCATGATCCAGAAAGATCCAGTGAATAGACATACCTCAAATAACTTCACTAGCATTTGAACATACAGCCGCCTTATGCCAAATGATTTTCCGAACGATGCTAGTAATATTATGATAATTAAAACAAAGAAAAATGGTGCAAATAGAATACCACTAGCAATCTCCAGAATTGCCATATTTGTTTAACTTTAAGTCCTCTTTAATTCTTTGTTTTATTAATTATTTATTAAGATTTTAATGACGGAGAAAATGAATTATTTTTTATATTATTCTCATTGTGACTGACTAGTTCTGGATTCGTTAACTTACTGCTTGTTTTGCAATGCTGAACAGGCAAGTAAAGTGAATTATAGAAACTGAGCAATTTGAGCAAATGATGCGAAAGTTTCCACTGAATCATGTGAAATGTGGCTGATATCTTGAAGAAATGATTTATTATTAAGTAGAGGATGTGTTGAATTAAAGTAGAAAAAAAGTAGAAAATTGGAAAACAAATTTCAACTGTTGCTCAATTTTTTTTTTGAATTTCTTGTTTAACGGTTTTTTGATAATTTTGTTAATTAAAGTGATTTCTACAGCAATTGTTTTAGATTGTTTAGGATATTTGTAAACGAATCACAAACTGGATCGATAATCAAATGATGGGGGGTTGAAGGGAGATCAGTAGAATCAACTGAAATAACAAGCAATTAAAAAGGCACTCAAATAATTATAACTTAATCTAAAGATAAGACTAAATCTGAAGATGTTTCTAGAAATTTCTATTCTTCTAAAATTGCTTATCAAGTGCTTAAAACTTTTCACTAAATCCCCGTTAAAAATGGTATCAATTCCCGAATGCAATAATACACAGCACGAAAAGTTAAGTCGCGCGACAAAATTTTGGGAAAGCTTGCATATTTGTTGTTCGTGCGACTCTAATTTGAAGAGAACAAATAATTAATAAACTCTCGGTTCCATCTAGAATTCGCAAGTTAACTTGGTTTCTTGAGATTGGAAAGTTTTAATAAAGATAATGAAAGGACAAGTTATAAGCAACAAGTTGAATGACATTAGTGCATTTTTTTTTAAGAGATTGATAGTTTTATTTAAATCAGAGGATTACAATCATTAGACTTAAAAACACATATTTGCGGATATCCAGTTCTTAATCAGGTGGTAAAAGTTCTGTGTCTTCAATCTATAAACGAAAGACACAACACAGTACTAGTCTTAAAAATTCTGTAATTTTAAACTAATCCGTTATTTTTTCAAAATCTTAAATTCCGTTACAATTCGAATTCAGATTGTTTGAAGTCAATGTATCATTAGCTATAGATTATTTAAACTCTTTATTATCCATATTTACTCGTTATACAATAAAGATAATTGAATCGAAAAATTAAAATAAAATTAATTGGCCCTTAACCGATTGCTGAACTTACTATCTCTGCCACATCCTGATCGGTCGATCGTACAGTCAACTGCATCGTCACGCCTTCAGATAGTGCCAATTTCGCTCGTAAAAGAACTTCAGCGCCGCCTCTAAACACTCCTAAAAGATTAAGATTCAATTTTAATACAATTCTATCCATCAATAAGGAAGTATAATTGTACCTGAACAAAGGAGGGTATGAGTGTGTGTTCCTTCGGGCACTTTTTCTGACGCATTCGCAGGCCCTAACCCAAGAAATTTGATAATTGTCTGGACTGCTTCCTGCAAAGTACTAACAGCTGACAATTGATAAGTGTCTTCCAATTCAACCCATTCTGTAATAATAAAAGTTTATTTAAATATCAGAATTAATCCACAATTAATAATGTTCAACTACCTTCTGTGTCTGCTGCATCCCATGCAACCGCAAAATTGCTAACTTTTGTTTTCTGAATTTGATCCGCAACGGTGATTTCAAAGTCTTCGAGCATATATTCATCATCATATCCTTCGTCTGAATCTGGTAAACCGGTTGCTGGATCACAATCCTTAACTATAAACTTTAGTGTCGCTCCGAATGTGGCTAGAATTGATTAAAAATGTTATTTAATCAAACTTTTGAATTTGAAGTAGATTTAAGATCAAATATTTTTCTGAATCGGTTGAACTCAACGGCTTTCAAAAATTTAAATTCAGCATAATTTTCAAAACTTAAATGTACGTTAAAAGTAATTACCTGCAGAGCTTGAGACATCAGCTGGATATTCTAGTATAACATAAGTGGATTCCTTTTCGCCATAAACTAATTTTGCACATGGTATGACATGACGTATGTTGAATCCTTCAGGCAATAATAAATCAACTCTTACATTCTCTAATAACTGATCGGACAGCGTATTAACACAGTCAAATTGTAAGACTATATGCTGAGCGAAACAATGCTTAATACATGATACAGTATATTCCGTTTCACTTTCTGTCAATTGAACAGTTTGTGAAGATTTATGGAGTGGACCCAACCGTTGAATGCCTGGAATTTGAAGTAATCTTTCAACATTAACTTCTTCTCTTGTAATTCTTGGAGCTTTTTGAACAGCATTTGTCGTAATCATTGCATCATTATGAGCATCCTCATTGACTGTCTGCGCCGGTGCTGTTTTCGGAACGAGAGCTAAATTAAATGTTTCAGTGAGTGATCCATGAAGATGGTCCTTTAATGTTTTCTCGAGGAGATTTAATGAAACCATTTGATCAGTGCTTGAAATATAATTTTTACATATTGTTGGATTTCCACAATTAAGAATGGCGAGATAATAAGTGGCTCGATCACGAACTTCATCATCAACGTCCATTTGACAGCGATTTAATAAAACAACGACATTTTGTAATAAATCTGGGCAAGCAGCTCCAAATTGAGCCATAGAGGAAACGGCAGCTGAACGTACAATTGCATTCTCAAGAATTACACGATTATAGACGAATCTTATGTATTTTGATGGATTTTTTGAGAATGGACCTTCTTTGCCTAATAAATGAAGGATACGGACAGCAAGTGAAGTATGTTCACAATCTTCAATAAATTCACACAAATGACTCAATCCAGATTCTTTTGCGTCTGGATTTTCCTCAATAATTGTAATTACTGTGTCTACAATTGATGTCTTGTATTCAAGGCCTCCTTCTTCTCTTAACATTGCACTTAAAAAGTTCATTAAAATGGCATGTTTGCGTGGGAATTTTGTGCATAATGTACGAATTGCTTGAACAACAACAACTTTAAATTCATCACTAATTTCAGCCACAAATGTTGCGATTTGCTTCATAAGTCTTTCGACAGAACTTTCAGTTCCAGTTTTTAATAATGTTGTGATAGCAAGTGTCGCAACTGAACGATTAGAATCAGCAATTAATCCCTCAAGATCCATATTAAAAGCAGCTACAGCAGCTGGATATAAAACTGCAACTTTATTCATTGTTCGAACAGCTGCAAAACGTAATGTAGCCTTTGATGAGCCACAGAATAATTGAAGGATGCTTACAGCCGGTGCCAATTCTCTAGCTGATGTTCTCTTTAAATTAACAATAGCATGAGCAGCTTCATAAATAACCATTTCACTTTTATGACGTAAACATGAGTCAACAAATTCCAAGAATTGTGTATCTGATATTGTGCTAGTTCCATTCGCATAATCTTCCTCAATTATCTTACTTCCGATACGAATCAAGTAGCAAACAGCATATGGACTTTTCATGTTCTGTCCAATTAGTTTTGAGACTAATTTTCCAACAGCAAGACGATCGTTTCTTCTTATATGATTAAGCAATCCAAGTGCATGATATTGGACCATAATATTGTCACTATTAAGTGCTTCTTGAGCCTCATTTGCCCATCTTTTTACAATATCTCCAGCACCGTGTTGGCTTGATAAATGAAGTGAACTGACGAGTGCAGCACTAGACACAGCTGAATTTCTATCAACAATACATTGCTTCATATAACGTTCAACGGCTTGAAGCATACTTGGATCGGTGATTGAACAAAGTGCACGAATTGCAGGTGCACGATAAAAATCCTCACGACCAGTCATGTCTTTTGTTAAGGAACTAGTTACGATAATGACATCCTCAGCTATAGTACTAAGTTCCTTAATCCCGAGATAAACCATTCGTCTCAAGACGGTGTCTTTCGACTGGAACAGCTTTGTCATTGCAAAGAAGCATTCTGTGGCTTCCCTTGTACCCAATTGTTCACCCTTAAAATACGTTTTAAATATTACTGGATGTTCTGGATCTTTTAAATTAAAAAATCTTACCTGATTAAGCAAGTATAAAATTTTTGTCAATATGTGGATACATTTCTTAGCATTAACCGGAGTGTCATTGAAAGTTCTAGCTTCCTGCAACACAGATGTCTTTTCCAAGCTTTGAAATGGATTTCCACTGCCTGAAAAATTTGATAATACGGCACATGAAAGGAAAGTTTAGATTATAGGCGAGTACAGTTTATGATATGAAATTACGTGGTGGCGATGATTTGTTATATTTATGCATCAACATTAATGCCATTCTATGCAATTTGTGAGTTAATGAATTATGATCCAGCGAAATTATTTGAGCATATATTGAATATCATAGAAAACCGTACGAGAAGATTATATTCGTAAACATAGACACTATAGAAGCACTGGAACTTTTTTGAATGATTGCGGATATCCAACAACAACACGTAAAGTGCCAACACAACATGAAAATTTTTCAACTTAATTTTTATGTGAAAATATCACTTGAAATCACTGGTTTAATCGATATTTGTTCACTAGTTGTCAGTATCTGTACTGCTATACTGTACGATTATGTTTTAATCAAGTATTTTATGGATTATAAGTGAACTAATGAAAAATGAATGACTAGAAAATATTTTTAAGTAAATCTCAATCAATAATACCATCTTCCTCTTCTTTTTTATCGCGTTTAAAGCTCATTTCGACACTTTATCTAATCAACTATTATTCACAATCAACAACACGCGTTTAATATGCTTTTATGCTTAATTAAAGTCCTTTAGATATTTTATGTTTTTGAAATTTTGAATAAATTTTTTGAGTAAACTTGAATTTTTGAAAAACGTTAAATTCGCAACAACAACCTCTGTAATTTGAACAAAGTAAGAAATCACCCAATTGACCGTGATTGAGACGTTTTCCATTGTTTTGGTTTAAAAAATTGATTTTATCAGCTGCTAAAGCTTTATAGTATACACCAACAGCATCAATCATGTCATCAAGCTCGGGAGAATCGAGTAGAAATAAATTTGACGAGGAAATTCGTGAGGTAAGTGCTTAAATAGATGAAAATTTAATATTTTCTAAACATAAACATTTAATTTTAGATAAAAGAAATAGAAAAGCGAGATTCTGTGTATACAAGCAAGCAACAGATTGATAGACTCCTCAAGCCAGGCTCAACATATTTAAATCTTAATCCTTTTGAAGTTTTACAAGTTGATCATGAGACAAAAATTGAGAATATAAAGAAAGCTTATAAAAGGCTCTCAATTTTGGTCCATCCTGATAAAAATCCAGACGATGATCGAGCTCAAAAAGCCTTTGAGATTGTTAATAAGGCATGGAAAATCCTCGAAATGGATGTAACAAGGAATAAATGCTTGGACGTATATTCGGAAGCAAAGCAACGAACAGATTTGATGATTATCGAGAAAAGAAAAAAGCTCAAAAAAGAAGGCAAATCAGAAGAAATACCAGAGGACAATCCAGAGAAATATGATCATGCTGTATATGTGACAGTAATGAAATTATTTGCTGATATGGAAAGGAAAAGGCAGCAACAAGATGTTCGTGATATGGAGGAAAGAAAACGTAAGCGTGAACAGGAAATTGAGGAAGAAGAGATGAAGGAAATGCAGAAAGAATATGCCAAGAATTTTGAGGAGTCGCGCGAAGCCCGAGTATCATCATGGCAGAAATTTCAATCATCAAATTCAGCTAAAAAGAAGAAGAAAAAGGTAGCATCATCATCCTTTGCACCTCCTAAAGTTAAGGCTGAAACGCGAAATTAATTTGTATAAATCTATAGCTTTCCCCCGTCATAATTTTTGACATAATCAGCAGCATTATGCAAATTTTAACATACATATTAAGAATTTTTAAAAAAGTTTATATTTAACTCCTCTCCAACAACAACTTTTTTCTTAAGAGCTACTATATGTGTAGCATAAATTTATTTTTATGAATAGCTGTAACTAAACGAAAAACAAACAAAAATTACTGAAAGATGAGATAAAAAAAAGAGTAAAACAAGATTTTATTTCAAATTTAATTCTTTTTTCTTGTGACTTTTTTTTATTTTAATTTTTATTAACTCTTCCAGAACTTACAATTTTTTTTCTTCTGTTTCTTACTTTTAAATTTCAATCCTACTAAATTGTCTAATTAATTTTTCGATATGAAAACAATACGTGAAGGAGAAATGGAAATTTGGAACTCTCTCTTTAATACAGATAAAGTCATTCCAAATTACTTCTTAAACGTTATCAGAGCTGCTTGTGAAGGCATTTAAACCAGCGTGAGTGGTTTTAATGTGATAAATACATATTAATATTTCTCAAATAGATATTATTTTAATGAATTCTACAAAGAAGGAATAGTTTTCTTATTTATTTATGCTATTTAGGAAATTGTTTTTTCACCGTTTTATGTTTTTTTTTTCAATATAAAAAGTTTATGTTTTTATCACGATTTAGTTTGGTCAGAAAACTTTATGGTTGACTTCACAGGAGTCACAGGATTTGGATTTGAATTAAATCGGTGGATTAAATTTGAGCATCACTCTCATCACTGTCATAGAATCTTTAAACAAAAACTTTCATCGAATTGAAATTTAAGATGTTATAAAAGGTTCCATCCTTAATTCCCTAAACTCTACTTTATAAGAATTCTCAAAAGCAAGCATTCTTAAAGTTCAAAATCTCTTCCTCAAATAAATGGGGTCGTTCACTTTTGAAATCTGATATTAACGGTAATTTTTCAAAAAAGCACAATGAAATTCCAGGAACTTTTATTGTTTTTTTCTTGCTGACTCCCGCCCCCCCCCCCCCCCCCCCCCCCCCCCCCACCACCCATTTAGATGATATAAATGAACGGCCTCTATCTAATTTTCGGTTTCTAGCTATAGTTGGTGAACTCAAATTTTATTTATACATCCAATTTCATTGGAGTACATCTAATTTCATTCCTAGGATAAGATTTAAGCCAAAATTTAATTCAAAAAAAAAATCCAAAATCTCAATAGTTCCTGTAACGACTGCCTCTACAAATTTTCTTCTGACCTTTGAATTTCTTATTTGTTGCTCATTCAAAATTTGAATGAGAACTTGCACAATTAACAGAGAAATGAATAAATAAATGAATGAATGAACAGTAAAGAAAAAGACACACAATATTATTTCTACATATGCTTAGTAAAAATAGTATTTCATAGAAACGAAATGTCAATATAATTATTATATTTCTACTCATTTAATTGGGTATTTATATATCATATAGGAGAGGTGACACATAGTTTAATTAATATTCCTAGTTGTAGGTTTCTTTTACTTTATTCATTCATTTTTATTATTTTTAATTCTTTTTTTGATCACAATTAAGTTCAATTTCTTATTTCTTTCAAATTTACATTTTTTTTTATCATCCTTAATAGTTACTAAACATGTAATTTTTTCATAAGATTAGTTGATTCCATCATTATCTATTTGGAATTTATTTCTTCATTTCTACTTATTCTGATAATATAAACTTCTTCATTCTTTGTTTAATTGCATCAAAATGACTAAGAAAAAAATTTTTCAAAAAAGTTCAGGACTTGACAAGGCTTGAAAGTTTGAGTAAATTCCTTATTTATTTTCTGGAATGTGTTTACTCACAACAGCAAGTGTCTTGGTTCTTCTAAACGGCTTCTTCAAAGATCAAGCTATGCATTTCAAAAATGATGACCAAAAAGTACAAATTTAGATCATCTAAGTTAAAGTGGCAAGTAAATATGCAAATGTTCTATCTTTACTGCCTAAAACTAGTGGTCTAGGGAAGGCTGCTCATCCTTGGTGTATTAAAACTATCTTCTATATTGATTCTTGCTTTAAAATATTGTTAAAGCTATCTTAGGACCAGTTTCTAGTTTAGCTTTCTTTCTAAACGATGAACAGGTTAAAACACAATCTCTCAAATAACCGAATCTACTCCTGTTAATATACAATGATAATGGCTTCCTTAGAAACCAACACTAAAGGACATAACGAAGAAAGATTAAGGAGAAACTCAAAGAACTAGCTACACTTGGTATCTTAAACATTAAAACTTTCTGGGAAGAACCAAACATTTGTTTTGTAAATCCTTCCAAGTGTTTAAATCATTGAACATTTTAAATACTTTTGAAATCTAGCCTGCATACCAAACTCCTACACTCAACGAAGCAAAATCCTTTCTTTTGAAATCTTATTCATCTAAAAATCAACAACAACAACCAATGGATCTGCCAACAATTCATTTAATCTCCTCAGATCTTCATCAACCTATAAAAATCTCAACTTGCTAATGAAAAATTAAATTATCTTTAAAATAAATTTTGGAATTTTAAACGAGCTTCCAAGTCTTGTCCTACCTCATCCATTCATTTCATCAATAATTCACAACTACTTTTAATTTGGATTACTTTTTTTTTGTCCACTTTTTTTTATTTGATCTAAATCAATAATAATTATTTTTCATTTCATCTTATAAATATTCAATATTCAATATTCAATTTTCATTTAATTTAACTTTTCTTAAGATTTTTTTTATATCCACTCTGCCTAAAGGAAAGTAAATTAAAGTCGTATAATTTATCATTTTTTTGAATGTAAACTTTTTATATTTTCGAATAAGTTATAGGTATAAGATATGTCTATCAAAATATCTTAAGAACTTCTTTAAAAAAAATTGATTTCATTCATCAAGTATGAAGAAGCTAAAAAGTTTATTGCTGATTGTGAAATGTCAAAAAGAAATTGCTTAAGAGGAGGGAAGTTGTATGTATCGTAGGAAGATCCGCTTTAAGAGCCTAGTCGGTTTTCTAATGACGACCTTAATGCGAGACATCCTTCAACCCAGAAATTTGGTCTATTAATCATCGCTTGCCATAATGTTAATTCTTTTCCATTCGCATCGTTCCATTCGGCAGGTCGTCCGTAGTGTTTACCTGTTGAGTCAATAAGTGTGTTAATACAAGAAGATGTAGGAGTTTTAGGATTATTGGATTTGCAGAATTTGACTTGAACTTGAAAAATCTAAATTCTAGATATTTCCTTCAAAGCACAATTTGAAGTCGATACTGCTGAAGTGTAAGCTATTGTTCTTAATCTTGTCATTGGCTTTAAAAATCCTTTATTCCCCCAAATTCAGCTAATCCTACAAATCAAATCCAATTCAATATTCAATATCCTTACCGGTTCCTAATGAGAATCTCACGCCACCTAGAAATTCGTTACTGGCCAGTCGATCATGATCCCATATTGTTAATTCCAATGCGCGTTCCGATAAATCGGCCAGTGTTAAATCTTCGTAGACAAATGTGTAATTCCTATGTGTGAACATTACCGAAATGAGAAATATTTTTGAATCATATCGTATTGTGAAAGTATTAACGGGGGTTTACATGTAAAGTCACAAAGACTTCGTATACTGAAAACTTGCAATTCACTTACCATTGTGGACTTGTCGATCTTTTTATTACTTGTGTTTTCTGCTTTGAGCTTCGATTCTTATCGGGAAGAAGATAGCTGTAAAAGAATTGTATTTGTGTCTTAAATAAATTCCAATAAAGATGTATGGAGTGTTGTTCATTAGTGACGTCCAATAATTAGCTGATTAGTGATTGTAGACTACGGGGCCGTTCACTTATTACGTCGCATTTTAGGGGGGAGAGGAGGTTTGAAAAATTGTAACAAAATGTAACATAGGGGGGGGGGGGGTTCAGGAAGTAAATCTGTCATTAATAAGATGGATTAAATCGAGAGAAGAGCGTATTTAAAATTAAATTTAAAATAAAAAAAAAGACAAAGTATTAATATGATCCCATAATTGTGATATTTACATTCAAAGTTGATAGAATTCTCCAAAATTCGATCGGGCATAATATTTTTCATGACATTTTTGAATTTTCTTCAAAAAAAAAAACAAATTTTTGCTTTATATCTCAATCCAATAATTCATGAGAATACTAATAGTATCAATCAAAACATTACCTATTTAGCTGTACAGTATTTTGATGTTTAAGAAAAAAAATACAAAAGAAATTTAATCGTCTTTTTAGAATAAAAAATTATCAAAATAAAATAAATTTTGAACGTTTAGGGGGGGGGGGGGGGGGGGGTGAAAAAAGTCATTTTTTGCGCCCCTACACTTAATTACTAAACGAGTCATCTGTAGGAATAATATCTGATGAACGTCACTTAGAAACAATCCAAATAGACATAAATTATAATACCTTTTGCAGAATGCATCACAATTTCCATTCGCTTTTACCGGCGAAAGATGTTTTGCCTCTTTCACTAATACGTGCAATGATCCCTTAGTGTTTTTCGAGCATGTTGTTGAGACACTCGAACCATTATTGTTGCCAGAACTGCTTGCGGATGAATTTGATTTAATACTAAACTTCCTTAAACTCAATCCATGCGAGTGCGACGAACTTGATGATTCATTACCAGGAATAAACTTTAAACCGACAATTATGTCGCCACGATAAGTTGTCACGTCCTCGAATGGCTCACTCTATAAAAATTAAATTTAAATATTTCAAGAATAATTGGAATTAATTACAATGATTAATGAAGCTGTCTGTACTTACCCTCTCTTCAAGTTGATACCATTGTGGTAAAGGATTGTCAAATACTTTATTCTGTAAGCTAATCATGACCTCACCGAGAAAATCATTCCTACCGAACATGTCGGAATGCCAGACTGTGAGCCACAATGTTCTCGATTCGAGACTACTAAGTGACATATAAAAGCGTAATACTTCATCAAATACTGGATTTAGTGTATGCTTCTTCACTTTGGTTTTTCGCTTTCCACTCTTTGTTTTGTCGGGCAAGAGATAGACCTGGATATAAAATAAATATTTGGTCATTTGCTTCTTTATTTAGAGTGTTTGATTTCTTACCTTAACATAGGGATCGCTACGATTCCTCTTCGTATCGACTGCTGCTAGATCTTTACATTGCTTCACATGAATTTCGAGAGCACACTGTTTGTAATTGTATTGCATTCCAAATTCAACCATGCCTTTGACTTGCACGGTACCATAACGACCCTCTCCAGCTCCTGAATAGACACTTGCCATTGAGTCGGATCGTAACTAAGGAAATGCAGGAGAGAAAAAGTTTTTATTGAAAATTTCAACAGGGTTGTTTTTGAGGAAATGAGAATTTTATTTTTAAAAGCTGAACTCACCCCTAATGAACTAAGAGAATTATGTCGATTCTGGTGCATGGCAACGAGCCTGTCAATATCCTCATCCGATTGTGATGGCCATGGATCTGTAGCTGGTGATGATGGTGATACTGTTTTATGGCTAGGTGTGAGTGTATTTCCGATATTCTTAGTTCCGATTACCGGTGAACTTGTGTGTTCTGGTGTATTTTGCTCGTCTATGAAAACAGAAATGAATAAAAAAAGTTGTTCATGAATATTTTAATGTTGAAAGTTTATATTTTTTGTTTTGCATAGGAAGTAAAAACGGTAAGGTAAATATTCATCTCATCTAAAAGTAGCGTTTATAAAAAAAGAGAAGAGAAGTGAAGCAACCCACCACCATTAGAATTATTGAATGCCATCTTTCGGATCTTGGAATTTTTAGCGCGCAATTTATCTGCGGCACGTTTCAAACTTTTATCAGAGCCAACACAGTCAAGCTCAAGAGATTCAAGAAATTTATCACTATTTGATTTCCAACTCTCATCCCATCGCCAATAACCCTGACTTTGTTCGGACTTTAATGTGCTCTTTTGACTTCCGATATCGCCGGATATTCCCTGTTGCTTTTGAAATTCTTCAACAGCTTTATCAATATCATCGTCGTTATCTGAATTCTGCTTACATGTGGACGATATGCAAGATGAATGACATGAGAAGAATTTCCTAACCCATTTACTATTCCAGCAACAAGTAATCCATTTCTGTTGAGGCTTAATGCTTTCATTTTTGGACTCTTTTTGGGATTTTTTATGGACAGACGGTGAAATACTTGCTGACGGTTTTGTAGCTTTCGGCATTGCCTTGTTGCCAAACATCAAATTATCATTGCTGGCACCAAAGCTAACATTAGTAAATGTTCTATAACGATTCACATCTTTCCGCTTGTAGCTTATTAAACGTGCCATACGCTCCTTTCTTCTCCATGCGTGGATGATATGAAAATGACATTTGTAATAAATTTCAAAAGCATTTTTATTATTATTTTGGACTGAAGAGTTATAAAGCGATGGACATTTCAAGCTGACATAAAGAATTTATCTCAACATGATATAGGATTAAACTTTGATCTTTCCCTCACTTCTGAATTATTTTTTTATTTGCTTTGTACTTGCCACATACATGCTCTAGAACATAACTTTAGTATCTCATTAAATATTTCTCTTTTATTCGCATTCCAATTCTATTTTGGGTACTTTGTTCTGTTTGAAAATTTCCGGATGAGATTTTTTTATTTTAGGTGCTAAATCTAAGGGTCATTTGTAAGTGACGTCTATCATCAAATTGGATTTTTAAAACAACTTTACTTTTTACTATTTGTAGACATTCCTACCTTCGTCTTAGATAACAACTCAAGACTATTCCCGATCCTTTCTTTCAAAAATTCTAATAAAATCTATAGTTTTAGTCTTTATGTTTAATATCATTACTGACCGACTCCCAAAATCCACATGAGAACATTTCATTCCAATTATTAAAGATACACATAAAATATTCTGTGTAGTTCATGCAGACTGAGATTTTCAAGACTTAATTGAAGGCTAATTTTGTAAGGTTCATTGACACAAAGAATTATTTATTGATTAAGGCAAATAAAAGGTTGCATATTCTCATGGCATGGATTGAAACTTTTTCTCTGTCCCTTAACATTGTCAAAAACTCGTAAGTTTCTCGGTTGTAATTCTATTGGAACTAACTTAGGAATTTGGAAAGGAAAACGTATTAAATGGATTAATCTTTAGAATTGGTGAATCTTTAGAATTGATCTGATCTAGTTAAAAGTTGTAGATTCGCTAAAGTTATTCGTGCGAGTTTGAAGCTTGAGTAACGGAATTAACTGTAGCTGAAATCTTAAGGAATACTTAAGAAACATCGAGTTGGATCTAAAATTTTGACAGTAACGCCAATTTTGTTTTCCCTTATAATGGAAATATTCAAAGAAACAAAAAGGATTCAGTCACGTTTCATGGTTTATAGATGATTCCATTAGAATCAATTGTAAAACGCAAATTTCAGTAACGCTTAAAACGTTCCAAAACATTTCACAGATTTGACTTTTTAACATGTAACATGCTAAAAGCAGCTATAAATCCAAGTGGAACTGAGTGCTGATAAAGAGAAAACTTTCTCGCTTGCATAATAAAGATCAAAAAACAACTTGGATGGAAAGGATTTTTACACAACTTTAAATATGCCGTTGGATAATCATCACATTCTTCACATTACATGCGGTACAGAAAACACGACAAACATCCTTATCGCATTGCTATGTATATAGAAAATGGACTGAAACTTGAATCACTCGGTTGTTTTGACTGATAAGTTGGTACAGTAAAATCAATGCAGATTTCTGATGCGTAAAATTGTATTGTGTTATAAATTAAAGAGAACTTTTGGGTTTCTAGAAGAAAACCTGACATTTTAGCGTCGTATATTTTTCATTAAATTATTTTCAATTCTTCAGAATTGCCGAGGACGAAAACTTTTAATGACATAACTTTTAAAGAATTCACATTCGGCGAAAATTTTCCTTTTTCTGTTTCGAATTTTTTCTTAATTATTTAATAGACAGAAAATGATTTAAGAGTGCTATAGTGAGATGACTGAAGAGCATTTATGAAATAATTATATTTATAGTTTATTTGAAAAAATAAATGCTTCAAATATTGAACATAGTTTGAAGTTCAAACTTTGAACTTTAAACTTGATTTTTAATTGATAAAGAATTCTAATTTAATCAACGCTGTTAACGATGTCTTTGATTGAAGTATTAATACCTAAAGCTAATTGTTATAAAAGACAACTTTTGTCATTTTATTAAAGAAGAATGTAACTCAACAAGTCAACAAGTTTACTAGAAATCTAGTTACTCTGCAAACTCATAACCTCACCATTCAACCAACAACAAAACATTCAAAAAGAACACAAAACACGATTTTTCATGTCCCCAAAAAATGCGCAAAAACTTCAATAATTCTCTTAAATGCCAAGTACAAAAAATTTGTGAAATCTACGGGCGATCAAGTCAGCAGTAACAAAATGTACGAAGAAAAAAACAACGAAAAAAATTATCTTGAAGGCAATTGGAAAAGTTTTTTGAATGCTTTTAAACAAAAGCTGCATGTAATTTAATAATTTATTCATAAAAACAGCAAAAATAAATGATTTCGTTAATCGACCTTAAAAGCTCTAATTTTAGTCTATTGAATTCCTCATTTTGCATAACAATTAATTTTTTGAAGTCTCAAATTTCTAAATATACACAGTGAGCAGCCAGCGTTAATTGTCCATCGGAAGCGTAAACATGAACAAACATTCCACAGATTTAGTTACACATACAATGTAGTTTACCGTATACAGGGCGTGGATCACATAAAAGAATCACACGAGAATAGAGAAGAAATTGGTTAAATAGAGCATAAATTCAAATAACACTTTAATGCTTGTTTTTTTTTCGAGTTTAACAGAAAGAATTAACACTTGTAAATCAAATTTTTAATATATTTCCTAGCTGTGCCGCTTCGCACAACTTCCCAAGTCTAAAATTTTTTAAACTCTAAGTTTCTTCGCAATTTTTTCGACACTCGGGGTTTTTTCTTTAAAAATTTCTTCCTGAAGAATTTCATGAAATTTCTGCACTTTAGGAACGCGTAAAGCAGCCAATTCATTACTACTGTACTTGTCTCTATATTTTTTATGACTGATCTGCTTTATTCATTTGTGATCAAAAAAAAAGAACAATTTCGCAATACGTCATAAAAAAATTATTTTTAATTTGTCGCGGTTAATGGAAAAGGTCAACAAATTTAATTTAAATAAATAAGAGCATCACATATGATGTGTAGTGAGACGAATTGAAATGAGACATTGACACGTTTTGTTCCTCAAAATTTATGCATATATTAATATGTAATCGATACAACCTCTAATTGAATTTGAGACTGAAGAATCGTAAAATTTTGCATAAGAATCAGATGAGTAAGCTTGTTGCTATCAATTCGATTCTATTGATTGATTTATAGACTAAATTTAATCATTTTTTTAAAAAAGGTAGCACTTTTGATGCAATATCTTTTTGCATCATTTTTACTGAACGCACTTTTGATGCAGAAAATTTTTGCATCATTTTTACTAAAGACACTCTTGAATCAAAAACTGAAATGAAAGAAATCTGCACAAAAAAATTAGGTTAATGCTCGCCTCTCTAGTAAGCATGAACTAAATTAAACTATTTGTCACTGCAGAAAATAAATTTTTATCGAAAACTAACTGGAATATTTGTTGACACAGATTTGAATGCTGGCTAAATTGACTGATTTAAACAGTTCTGCTCCATTATAGCAGGCAAATTAGTATCCACCCACGATCAAACGTCAAAGGTATTAAGAAATTTTCTGATTTGAACCATTTTAATGTCAACGTTGATTTAATTATGAAAATTTTCCACCTAAACAGAGCCTTGAAGCTATCAAGGAAAAATCAAACATTTTAGTCCTTTTTTAATTGTTGTAATTAACGCCTTATCTTAAGATAAATTCTGTTATTAAACTTTAAATGTTGACTTGATAGAGTGTAGGAGCATTAGAAATTTTCCAGGTCATTTTATGCCCTGAGGAAAATTCATCAATTCAAGGTTGTAGAAACGAGCAAGAAGGAAAGGATAGGAAATGAAAATTTATGAACCTATTCAAAGTTTTCCATTAATTTAAGGAAATTATGTTGAAAATAAAGGAATAATTAATCATCAAGACTTACACCGTTAAGATTTATGATCTGAAAATTTTGTTTTAATTTTATAAAATTCATTTCATTTTCTCAAACGTCTATTAAAAGTCGTAGATCTTGTTAGACGCAAAACGTTACAGTAATATGATGATAATAAATAAGAAGCAATTTTATCTTTCTTGTTTGCCTTAATGAGGCAATTTTAACAATTTTCCATAAAATTTAAAAAGAAAATGTAAATTTATTGAAGATGAAACTTGTTCTGTTAATTGAAGAAAGTTGTAGAAATAATTTAATTATCTTCATCGAGTCATTGACACAAAACTTTAAATGGAATTTATTTAATTTCATCAGATTTATAAATAGTACAATTTTTTTCTTGCTAAAATAATCTTTTTAAAAACTTAATCTTATCAAGAAATGGAAATGAAGAACTTTTCGATTAGAAAGT